CAGGAGCATGCTCCCACGTTATAATTAACATCCTTCGCCCGAGAGTCTGTTGAGAGGGCAAAGCTCCCCAATGATCCTGACACGTCCCCAGGGCTGCACCTTGACAGTGATAGGATCTTCACAACACACACCCAACAGCTGCACGGTCGGTATTCCCTGGAGAACACCAGTGGCCATCCCAGTTCGACAACCCTGCCAGTGGTAAAAAGACAGTCAAGGCTGCGGGGCACCGAGAACGCGATTTGGAAAAATTAGACTGTTCCCCCAACCCCAACCCCAGAAAGTGGTCACGAGCAACAGTGGCCCTGCAGAGCCTGCCCTTGATGACCTTGGATGGTGGGCCATTAAAGCCCCATCTCGTCCACACATGGGCAGGCATCTCACCCAGAGTCCACCATGCACAAGTCAGGGAGCAACTCACAAATAAGGGACAGGCCCTGGAGGGTGATAGGTACACTCAGAGCTGCCCAAAGCCTGGGCGATGAGTTAGAGAGAGCTGGGGGTTTGGAAATCAGGCGGGGAAGGAGCCAGGACCACCATGTTAACAGGCTGAGCCATCTGCTAAAAGAAGTTTCAGACTGAGGTGGGAAAAGGAGAGAATGAAGTCTTTCACAGGAGCTATGAGATGGCGGAGGGGAGGAGACGGGGGACAGAGCCAGCTCCAAAGACCATGGCCATGTCCTCAAGAGGAGTGTGAACTCTGCCTTGCAGAAGCGAGGGGTTTGAACAAGGGTTATTTATTGATTAGTGTGTTGGGCGGTGGAAAGGGATCGGCTTTGGATAGGTGCAGCTCCAGCTGTTGTGGCCGCTTGGGGAGTGAACCATTGGAAGGAAGATCTTCCTCTCTGTCTCTCCTCCTCTCTGTATATCTGCCTTTCCAATAAAAATAAATAAATCTTTTTTAAAAATAGTAAAAGTCCTTCTGAGGGACAAGTTCTTGGCCTGATAGTGAGGATGCCACTTGGGGTGCTTGGACCCCAAACTGAAGTGCCTGCGGAGTCCTGGCTCTACTTCCAATCTGGCTTCTTGGCAAGCAGCAGCTGGCAGCTCAAGCAGTGGGGCGTCCCTGCCCCCCACCTGAGACCCAAGTTGCCAGTCCCTGGCTTTAGCCTGGTCAGGCCCTGGCTGTGGTAGACATTTGTAGAGTGAAGCAGCTGATGTTTCTCAAGCAAAAAACAATGTGTCTGCATTACACCTCAACTTGCTTTTTCAATTAAGAGCAGCACATAAGAAAAACAACTGATTTTTTTTTTTTATTTGTTAAAATAGACCAGCCCTGAGCCAAGGGCTTAGCACGGAATTTTTTCCCACATATACAAAATATATATTAAGCAGTGGTTTTCTGTATAATCACTTGGAAAGGTCATCTTTGCTTGCATGAAAACCCAGCGTTCCATTAGTGTCCTGTCCGTGACGCAGAAGGTTCCCCTAGAGAGACATGAGAACTGAGGTGGGACCTGGGACCCCCATTCCCCAGCCCTTCCCACGCCTTGGAATGGAAAATAGATGAGCTGCAGCCACCCGTCCTGGTGGGGGCTCCCTACCCCAGAGGAGACCCCAGGGCTATTTCTGGAACCCCTGGCCCCCAGTGTGACTGAAGCTAAAACCGGTGGCCCTGAGAACAAAGATAAAAATCACCCAAATGTCACCAAGAACTGAAATTACTAATTTCCTAACGAGAGAAAAGTTACAGCAGTTTTTATCTCAAGTCCCAAGTGAGCACTTCCTGTATGTTACTATGATAATTTTTCAGATAGTTTCCAATTTTCATTCCTCTATGCTTGGGCTCCTGTTACATTTTTAAAGTTTTATTAATTATTTGAAAGGCAGAATTACACAGAGAGTGAAGGGGGGGGGAGAGAGAGAGAGAGAGACAGAGTAGCCGCTGGTTACTCCACCCAAAAGGCTGCAATGATCAGGACTGAGCCAGGCTGGCAGGGAGCTGGATCGTAAGCAGAGAAGCTGGGACTCAAACTAGCATTCGTATGGGAAGCTAGCTCCACAAGCCACGGCTTAACTGGCTAAGCCACAATACCTAGCTGTTTTGTTTTGTTTTGTTTTTTATTGTATCAGCAGGGAGTAGCCTGGACTGTGCAGCAGCCCAGATCCCCCAGTGGTGTGTTATAGCAGTCCAAGCAGTGGTTTAATCGGCTGGGCCACAATTCTGGCACCCACATGGAGACCCAGAAGAAGCTCCTGGCTCCTGGCTTTGAATCGGCGCAGCTCCAGCCATTGTGGCCACTTGGGGAGTGAACCAGTGGATGGAAGATCTTCCTCTCTGTCCCTCTGTCTCTCTGTATATCTTTCCAACAAAAATAAATAAATCTTAAAAATAAAAAAGAAATCTCTGCTGCTTGTAAAGACAAACAGGACAATGCTATTTATTGCATTTTCATTCTCCCCACAGGCTATTATATTGAGTTGTCACATTCTCTTGTCCTGGGCTCCTATATGCCAGCTTTGCCATGCTTTGAACACGATCCTTAACAAAACAAGTGCCCTCTTCCAAACCTACCCAGAAGGAGGAGGACCGGCTTTCAGCAGCGGCTCTCTGGCCACACTAACGGGCAGGACTGCATCTGCCATCATGTCCCTGTACTCATGTACACACAGAGATGTAGGGCAGGACATCAGAATCTTTACTGCAACCCTGGACAATCCAAAAGGTGCTCACGTTGGAGACTTTCCACAGTGAGGTCTGACCGGTGACAGACACGCATATGGGGACAGAAAGGGAAGGAAGGTTTACCAAGTAGTTACAGGACGCACTATACAACTCAAGGTTGTTCAAGAAAATACCACGCAGGAGAAGGATCGTTTAGCCTAGAGGTGAGGACACCCTTGTCCCATCTCAGGGCATGGCTGGAATCAACACTGAGCCCGTTTCTAACTCCAGCTCCTTGCTAACCTCAGCACGCCCAGGGAGGCAGCAGGTGATAGCTGCTTCCTGCCACCCATGTGGGTGACCCAGACGGAGCTTCCGGCTCCTGGCTCCTGTCCTCCAGCTGCTGCAGCAGACAGCAGTGCACACTCTTGCTCTCCCTCCTTCCCTCCCTCCCCCTCTGTCTATCAGCATTTTTTTTTAATGCCTGAGGTTGTACCCACGCAGAATGGCTACAAATGCCAGCTGAGCTCATTCTGTCAGTGCTCCTGAGACACATTTCTACTAACTAATGGCCCATTATCCTTCCTTTATTTCCCCGTCTCACCAGATAAGACGGGAAGAAACTTGTCTGCAGCTGTCAGCCTTCATACCCAAGGCCCAGTAGTCTGATTTCAGATCCCCCCGTTGCAGTAAGGAAACGCAGTTGGCATTACTTCATATCTGTAAGTACCGAGGTTGCTTCCTGCCAGAGGGCTTTCAGTAACAACACATTGTTAAATGCTTTTTTTTTTTAAAAAAATAATTAACAACAGGTACATCACAAGATGACCACCGACAGCCAACAGTCACATCTCTGGGTGTCAGTGGGTGGGCACAGTGGTAACCCCTTCTCTGTGGTTTTGAGGTCCCTCATCTCAGTTACCCACAGTCAATAGAAGACAGTACCAAAATCGAGACACAAACCCAGAACAGTAAGCCACTTCGAGAACGAGACCCTGTAAAGAGAGACTGGAGCAGCGACCCTGAGGGTGAACCCACTGTCCTGGACGCAGCACCACATGGAATGCCTTGAATACCTGTTGACTCAGCACCACAGTAAGTCCCCTACATCTGGCCCCCTGAGGCCCACTTGCCTGAGGAAGCTTAGGGATCTTCAGGGTCAAACCTGTGCACGCCACCAATCTCCTGGGGCATGTATCCCTGGTGTCCACCTACAGGCGCATCTGCCAACTTGACCCCGCACTCCCGGTACCCACCTCGAGGCTGTGGAGGTGCCTCTGCCCTTTGGACTCTCTTGTCTTCACGCTCTCTTCTCTCTGCCCTCCCCTGTCTCTCTCCCTCTGCTCCTGCTTCCTCCCTGCCCCATGGCTCCCTCCTCTGTTGAAATAAAGACTCTTAGGAACTCACAGACCCTGTTCACATAACATCTACTAGTGCACACTGTTGTAGCTGTTCCATTGTATTGTTTGCTATTGTCATTACTTTCTTACTGGTTCTAGCTTACAAAGTAAACTTCAGCCTGTGTAATGTACAAAGCGTTCATGGAAAATGGGCTGATAAGACAAGTTTGTTTAGGCGCAAAGAAATCTTAAAACCCATGCATATCAGGAGCCCTTAAAAAGTTCATGGAGAATACCTATTACCTAAGAACTATGAATTCTTTAGGCATTTTGCAACAAAATAAACTCATCTTTTATTTTACCTTCCAGAAGCTTTTCAAAGTGCCTCTTAAGCACAGGAAAGAATGTTCTCTTTTTCTTTTTAAAATTTATTTATTTATTTGAAAGACAGAGTTGCAGACAGAGGGAGAGACAAAGAGAAACATCTTTCATCCACTGGTTCACTCCCCAAATGGCCGGTAAGCCAGGGTTGAGTTACGCCAAAACCATGAGCCAAGAGTTTCATCCACGTCTTCCATGTGGGTGCAAGAATCCCAGCACTTGAGCCCTATCTTCCACTGCTTTCCCAGGACATTAGCAGTAAGCTACAATGGAAGTGGAGCAACTGCAACACAAACCAATGCCCAAATGGGATGCTGCTGTTGCAAGCAATAGCTTAACCCACTGTACCACAATGACAACCTGAGAAAGAACATTTTTTATACTGGGTTGCGTGGGTACTCTGTGGCCTCCAGCGTCAACTGGGAGTCATGGAATACAGCCCTGCAGGTAAGGTGCAACTGCCATGTATACTTTTCAAGAGTAAGATCTTCACACTTTGCAGTGCTTACCAACATCTTCTGTCCTATTCTCTCCTGCTCCAGTTCTTTAAAAATACATACACTGGGGTATGCCTGATAGCTTGACCAGGTTTATATGACTCTGTGTTACCTATGTTCAAGAAATAAGACTAAGGCTGTGGCCTTTTAGGTAAAGTCCCTGAGCTATTCACTCACCTTGAAGTGAAAGGAGCTGGCTGGGGACCCGATGGAGCCAGAGTGTTCGCTCTTGGTTAGGTTGCTGTAGTAGTTATTGACCTTGGAATTGACATTCTGGTTGGACCTGGGGTCATCCGTGATGGGGCAGATGAAGTAGCCTTCCTCATCATCACTGTCTGAATCGGAATCAGCACTGTGGCCAGCCCGGGAGGACTGGTTGCTACCAAGGCCTTCCAGGCGGAAGATGAGGTCCTCGTCGGCCATGTTCCAGGGGTGTCTGTGTTAGCCAAGGTGGGCGCGGCACAGCCAGAGTTCCGGGGCAGGTGCAGCAGCGAGGATCCTGTAAGGGAAGCACATGTCAGAGAGTGGCAGCAGGTGCATTATTGCACGCCTCACCGTACACACATACACTGCTCAAATGAGGACCAGCACCCCTGGGACAGAGGAACACCAAGTTGTCTTTGAGGAGGCCGTTGGCAACCTCCAGGGACATTTCAATATTCCAGACCTGTGCATCCAGTCATTCCACTTCTAGGAACTCTGCTTGAAAAGAAATGACTCGGAAGCAGTCAGAGGCATCCTTTGGGAACTGACACTATATCCAGTTACCACTTTGCCTAACACCCTCTGGCAACCTCCCTCCACATCCGTAGTAAAACCGGACGCCTTTAGGGATGGTGTGTGCAGCAGGTCAAGCTGCCGCAAACCACCGTGGTTCACATCCGAGCAGCTCCACAACTAACCCAGATCCCTGCTAACAGCCTGGGAAGGCAACAGAGGATGGCCCAAATGCTGGGTCCTGCCACCCATGCAGGAAACCAGGACACATCTCTTGGCTTTGGCCTGACCCTACTTTGGCTGTTGTGGCCATCTGGGGAGTGAACCAGAAGTTAGAAGATTGTTTTCTCTTTTATTTTTTCTTTTTAATTATTTATTTGTATTGGAAAGTCAGATATATAGAGAGGAAGATCTTCCATCCGATGATTCACTCCCCAAGGAGCCTCTTCCAGGTCCCTCACATGGGCGCAGGATCCCAAGGCTTTGGGCCATTGGATTGCCCTCCCAGGCCACAAGCAGGGAGCTGGATGGGAAGTGGCGCTGCCGGGATTAGAACCAGTGTCCATATGGATCCTGGTACATTCAGGGTGAGGACTTTAGCCACTAGGTCACGCCGCCGGGCCCAGAAGATTGTTTTCTGTGGGCCCAGCATGATGGCTCTGTAGCTAAATCCTCACCTTGCTCATCCCAGGGTGTTGGTTCTAATCCCGGCAACCTTGTTTCCCATCCAGCTCCCTGCCTGTGGCCTGGAAAAGCAGTCGAGGACGGCCCAAAGCCTTGGGACCCTGCACCCGCATGGGAGACCCAGAAGAAGCTCCTGGTTCCTGGCTTCATATTGGCACAGCTCTGGCTGTTGCAGTCACTTGGGGAGTGAACCAATGGATGGAAGATCTTTCTGTCTCTCCTCTCTGCATATCTGCCTTTCTGATAAAAATAAATAGATCTTTTAGAAAAATAAAAGAAGAAAAAAGAGGAGGAGGAGGAGATTGTTCTCTGGTTCACTCTGCCTTCCAAGTACATAAATCTTAAGAAAATAAAAAAAGCCCTGGCTGCAAGGGTGACGGTTTTGACGGTTTTCTGGCTCCCGACCCCGCAGCTCCCCCAGCTTTGGCCTCTGTCCAGCACCCAGCTTCCACACCTCTGCTCTGTGAACGCCAACAGCTCATTTGGACTTACTGAGCCAGTGTCTGACACGTCCTCCAGTGGGTTCCTTCTCAAATTTTAGAACTAGCCTCACGTCACTCTTCAAAGAAATCTTCCCAAAGCTGTGAAACACCTCTCCCCAACCCCCTCAACTGCCTGCACGCAGCACCCATCGCCCCCTAGCACCTCACCCTATTTGCCTCCCAGTGATTTTCCCAAGCCGGAATCCTCCTTTTTATTTTCTCATTGCCCGTGTGCCTAGGGCTCCAAACAGTCCCTGGCACAGAGAAGGTCCCAGAATGAGAGTGTTCTCAGAGGTGTGATCAAACAGGGGGAAAAAACTGCTGCCAGCCCGGCAGGTCCATCGGTGGAGGGTCAGACAAGAACGGCAGTACTTTAGAGCAAGCGTTTATGCCTAGTGGTTCGGATGTCGGATCTACGCTCAGTTCTTGGCTCCAGCACCTGATCTCAGCTTCCTGCTAATGTACATCCCTGGGGGCCACAAGAATGACTTAAGCCGCTGGGTTCCTGCCATCCATGGGAGAGACCTGGATCGAGCACCTGGCTCCCAGATTCGGTCCTGGCCCAGCCCTGACCATTAGAGAGCTCTCTCGCTTGATCTTTGCCTCTCAAATTAAAAAAAAAAAAAATTTAGTTTTTCAATTAAAACTTTTTTAGGTATATTATTATTTATTTGAAAGGTAGAATTTCTTCCTCTCTGTCTCTCCTCTCTGTATATCCGCCTTTCCCATAAAAAAAAATAATAATAAAAATAAATCTTTAAAAAAAAAAAAAAGGCCCGGTGCGGTGGCGCAGTGGTTAAAGGTCCTCGCCTTGCACACCCGGGATCCATATGGGCGCCGGTTCTAATCCTGGCAGCCCCGCTTCCCTTCCAGCTCCCTGCCTGTGGCCCGGGAAAGCAGTCAAGGACGGCCCAAAGCTTTGGGACCCTGCACCCGTGTGGGAGACCCGGAAGAGGTTCCTGGCTTCGGATCGGCATAGCATCGGCCCGTTGCGCTCACTTGGGGAGTGAATCATCGGACGGAAGATCTTCCTCTCTGTCTCTCCTCTCTGTATATCCGCCTTTCCCATAAAAAAAAAAATAATAATAAAAACAAATCTTTAAAAAAAAAAAAAAGGAAAGGTAGAATTACAGATAGAGAGAAAGACCAACAGACAGAAACATCTTCCACCTGCTGGTTCACTCCCCAAATGGCCAAAGCCAAAAACTTCTTCCAAGTCTCTGGTGGGGGCTATCCTCCTCTGCCTTGCCAGGAACATGAGCAGAGGGGACGGATCGGATATGGAACAGCCAGGACACAAAACCGTTCCGATGCCAGCATCGCAGGTGGAGGCAATCTTTCTGCCCTGTGAAATACTTTGTGACCATCAGAAACAAAGGGGAACCTCTGATACCCAGGAGACAAAGTTAGATAAGAGAGTTTCACAACATTTCAGACCTCCCCAACTCAGTCAAAGGATTCTCAACAGGAAGCCAAGATAAGGCAATGAGAAATAATCTTCCCAACAAATGCTGCTGGTACAACTGAATATGCTTAAAAGAATGAAACACAGGGCCCAGTGTGATAGCGCAGTGATTAAAGTCCTCGCCTTGAACACTAGGATCCCATGGGGTGCTGGTTCTAATCCACTTCCCATCCAGCTCCCTGCTTGTGGCCTGGGAAAGCAGTCCGATGGCCCAAAGCCTTGAGACCCTGCACCCGTGTGGGAGACCAGGAAGTGCTCCTGACTCCTGGTTTCAGATTGGCTCTGCTCCAGCTGTTGTGGCCGCTTGGGGAGGGAACCATCGGATGGAAAATCTTCCTCTCTGTCTTTCCTCTTCTCTGTATATCTGCCTTTCCAATAAAAATAAATAAATCTTAAAAAAAAAAAGAGAATAAAATACAAAAGTTAAAATTGGGGTCCTGCATGGTAGCCTAGCAGCTAAAGTCCTCGCCTTGAAAACACCAGGATCCTGGCAGCTCCCTGTTTGTGGCCTGGGAAAGCAGTCAAGGACAGCCCAGAGCCTTGGGACACATTCTTTTACATCTTTTTACTTCTCTTCCTTTCTGTTCTTTTCCCTTACTATATCACCATGACACTGATCCTCCACTCACAGTTTGCAAATTAGTCTCAACTGCCAAGTTTGTTTCTTATAGTCTGGTTGAGACAGTCACAGGCCTGGAGCCAGCGTCACAGCCATTGGACTCTGCTCACTCCCCAAATCTGTTCTGGGCTCTGGGCCTGCCACTCTCTGGCACCCAATCCACACTGGTCAACTCCGGGTCATTTTCCCTGCTACCAGCTAGCTCAGCAGCTTCTAGGAACCTGACTGCTGGCAGGGAGGGGCCTGTCCCACAGCCTCTGCCTGCACACTTCCAGGCAGTTAAGAGATTAGACTCTGGGTGGGCACAATGGCTTAACTGCAAGCGCCAGTAGCCCGTATGGGTGTCAGTTCATGTCCTGGCTGCTCCACTTCCCATTGAGCTCCTTGCTTGTGGCCTGGGAAAGCAGTGGAGAACAGATCAAAGCCTTGGGACCCTATGCCTACATGGGAAACACAGAAGCTCCTGGCCGCAGATTAGCTTAGCTCCAACCGCTGTGGCCATTTGGGGAGTGAACCAATAGATGGAAGACTTCTCCCTTTGTCTCTCCTCCTCCAAATAGAAATAAAAATAAATCTCCAAATAATAATAATAATAAAAATAAAGAGCTCAGGCTCTGGAGCCAGGCTATCAAAGACACAGATCCTGGCCTGGCTACGGATGATCCTGCTAACCTGATAAGTCCACTGGCATTGCCAACTCGTGCACTGACAAGGGAAGCAGCCTGACTGGAGCTCCACACTGGCTTATAGGGGATTCTGGACCAGATCCCAGCCCTTGACCACCACCAACCAGAGACCTGCTCCTGATCCCTTCGACCCTGGGAGGCATAAGTGACTGCAAACAAGCACTGAGTCTGCCCTGGTATGGCAGTCAAGAAAGAACATCACACAGTGGCCACCAACTGGATCGTTTCTGTGTCCCTTTAAAAACCTTTTTGTAGGAGCCGGCCGCCTCAGATTGCCACGCCGGCATCCCATAAAGGCACCGGCCGGAGTGCCGGCTGCTCCGTGCACTTGCAGGCCCAAAGAGCTCTCAGTGCAGGTGTGAGTCACCTGCAGGGCACCTGCTGCCCAGCTCCCCTCTCCCGATCCACACTTCTCAGTCAGCAGGGCAGACCCCACCCTCACCACAAAACCCTCCGCGTTTCAGGCGAGCCGTCACTCCCACTACTCCTGCTGCAGGATCATGAACCAACGGGGGTTTCTCCTGCTCTCACTCCAGCCTTTTCCCAGAGGCTCCCCGGGTGATGCAAACCCATAGCCCAGCCCAAAGACCACCAGAGGAGGAGAGAGTGGAAGGGACGGGGTTCTGATCTGCAGCCTGCACGGTCCACAGCGGGACCCTCCTTCTGGTCCCCAGAATCCTCTGGCCACCAACTTGGGAAAGTGCCACCAGGGCCGGAGTGGGGCACACACCACGCCCCCTCACGTCCTAACCTCCGATTGGCCGAAACTCAGCCACGTGGTGGTCCACAAATTCAATCAAGGATGGGTTCAACAAGCACCGCAGTCAGAAAAACACAAAAAAGTTACAAATTTTGCAACGTAAACGAGTGGTCAAGACGAGCCGAGGCGCTGTCTTCTGGCCCGCCCCCCTCCAGTTAGAGCAGACCCCGCGCGCCCTGCACACCCGGAGGAGCGCGGCCAGGGGCACCGGAAGTCACCGGTGTGCTGGGCTGAGCTAGTAACTGAACTCAGGAGATCCGTGGAGGTCCCACGGAAGAGGGTCCTTGCACACCTCCGGCTCTAAGCTCTACATCTTGCCTCAACCTGCTCAGATACCCCCCCTCCTCCAGGAAGCCTTCCAGATAATCTCCCCACCCCCAACTCGGCTCCAACCGACTCAGTCCATCTTGCTAACAATCAGGCGGGTTGCTTCCTCCTCTCACATCGGGGAGAGGCGACTCCACAGCCTGTCTGGGGCTCTCTGCCACTGGGGACTCCCTAAAGCTGCAAGCCTTCACACCTGCTGGGCGCTGGGCGAGGGACTGGACCTGCCAACGCCACGGAGGGGCGGGTGCTAATGCTGCACCCATTTTCCCGACGAGGAAACTGACAACCAGGGAGAAACCTGCAACACGTCCACGGTGGGTGAGTCACACGGTGGGTGTTTCCTACTGCTTGCACGGCAGAGTGGCCCCCAAGGGAAGGGAACGCCTGGTGACACGGAACCCAGAAGTCAGGTTTCCGGAGGACGAGCCCACAGGGTGGCTCTTAACCTGCTCCCCCGGGGTCCCAACAACACCACACGCGGACGCGGGCTGAACCAGGCCGGGGCTTCACTTGTGAGGCAATGCCCGGCCTCTTGGCTCACGAGGCAGCGTCGCCTGCCAGCGTCCGAGCTCCCACAGCCAAAGCAGCCAGGGCGCGTCTTCACAGCCCTCTCCGTGGTCGGAATTCAGGCCAGGCGCGCCACCAGTTCAGGGTGGCGGGGGCGGGGTGCAGTTCCGGGTCCCTCTTTGGAGACCTAGAAAGGCGGCGCTGCACCCATCCTCGGTGGACTGCATGCCGCCCATCGCTTGCCAACCGCCTCCCGCACGCACAGCGCCGCTCACCCACAAACGCAAACACGGAGCTGCGGAGTTGAAGGAGCAGAAGCCAAGCCCCCGCACTCGCCCTGCGCGCCACGTGCACGGCAGTGGCTCCCACCCGTGCGAGAGGAGGAAGGGAGGGAGGCAGACAGGCCTGCGGGGCCCTGCCCGCACCTACCTCGCCCGGGCAGACGAGCGCGGCAGCCCCTACCGACGGGAGGATCCAGAGGAGTGGCCAGAGGCTCGCGGCCCGGCGCTCCAGGGTGCAGGACGCGCGGGCTCCGGGAGAGCTCCGGGGAGCGGACCGGCGGGGCGCGGGGCTGGCGCCCCGAGGAGGCAGCGGGGGCTCCACGCGGGGAGGACGGGGCGTTCCTGGGGGCGCAGGGGGCCGCGAGCGCCGGCGGCAGCGAGCAGAAGCTGGAGCGGCACGGGACGCGCGGGCGTGGAGTCCGGCGAGGAGCGGAGCCGCGACGGGGGCCGGCGCTCGGGGCTGGGCCGGGACTGGAGCTGGGCCGGGACTGGAGCTGGGCCGGGACTGAAGCTGGGGAGGGACTGGAGCTGGGCAGGGACTGGAGCTGGGCCGGGGCGGGGCTGCGGCCCCAGGGCGCGCAGCGCGACACCCACGTGACCGTCCCCTCCACCCCCAGTGGCCGCCGCTGCTCCGGGGCTGGACACCAGAGCCCCCAGCACGACGGGGTGGACACCAGAGCCCCCAGCACGATGGGGGCCGGCCCCTAGGCTTCAATGCAGACTCAAGGCCGGGTCTGAAGAGCAGGGCGTGGAGCGAACAATGTGAGAAAGTGTGTGACAAAGTGCAATTATGGGATTAGTGTATCCTGTAGGCATTCAGAGGTGTCTCTGGCTGCATCCCTTCCGTTAACCCAGGCCTGACCCAGTAGATGCTTAATTAGTACCCAAGGCATTAATGCAGAATATGGAAAAGCATAAAGAAGAAAGCTACTGATAACTCCTGTTGATGTGTGTGTGTGTGTGTTGGCGCATTCTAGATATTTTTCTGGTGAAAGCTTAGAAACGTCGGGAATTTTATTTGAGAAATAAAAATAAGGGGTTGTATGATTTGGCTAAGCTTTGCACGAGGCTAAAATATGCATTTCCCCCTTTGTAACCTGCAGAAGACTTCTCCGTTGGCACCTCTCCGCCAGGCAGGTGCGTGTCTAGACATCTGAATGTGCTCCTGACCCGCACCAGGAGGGACAAGGCAGACGGCAACATGAGGAGCAGGGAGTAGAGCTGCCACCTGCCATGCCAGCACCCAATACGGGCACCACTTCCAGTTCCCGCTGCTCCACTTCCCATTCAGCTCCCTGCCAATACACCTGGGCAGGCAGTGGAGGAGGGCCCAAATGCTTGAACCCCTGCACCCATTCGGAAGACCTGGAAGAAGCTCCTGGCTTCTGGCTTTGGACTGGCACAGCTCATCACTGTGGCCATTTCAAGAGTGAACCAACGGATGGAAGGTTGGTCTCTCTTTTTTTAAAAAAAGTGTTTCAGGTGTTGAGGCTAAAAACAAACAAACAAAAAACAAACTGAGCAAAGTGAAGGCCTCCCTCTGATCTTCAGCCCGCCCAGTTCACCCAGGCAGGCCCCTAGAATTATCTCTGCCAGGAAAGGACCCTGGGGGTTGGGCAGGGCTGTGGTGGCCCCTTGGGGCTGAGTCCCAGCTCCCCAGTCCCAATCCAGCTCCATGCAGGGGACAGTGGTTCCTGCCACCCTCGCTGGGGGCACAGGTTGACTTCCTGGCTCCTGGCTTCTGCCTGGCTCAGCCCTGGATGGAACTGCGGGTCGCACACCCCTCCCTCCCTGTCTGCCTGTCTGCCCTGCCTCTCTGCTTCTGTTAGGGGCTTTCATCCTGTTCATGCATTATGGTCCAGTTCAGCTGGAACAGGTAGAACTTCCCTGTTCACCACTGTGGGAGGGGGCGGAAGGGAAGGGCTTCTGGCTGGGGAGGCATTCTTGAGTGCACCGGAACCCACGTACACTCCTTGCTACAGACTCTTCTGCGCCTCGCTCCGACTTGCTGGCTCCTCACAGCTGGCGTCAAGAGCCAACTGTCACTGGGAATGCCTGCTCAGAGGTGCCTCAGGGGGCCCTGAGAGATGAGGGATGGCTGGCCTGGGATGCTGTATCCCCATATTGAAGTAGCCTGGATTTGAGTCTTCCTCCCCAGCAGCTCTGTCCCTGACCCCAGCTTCCTGCGAATGCACAGGCTCAGAGGCGAGCAGGTGGCAGCTGGAGTCCTTGGCTCGCTGCCACCCATATGGGCGTCCTGGATTAAGGCCTGCTCTTCAAGTTCATGTTAGCTTTGCCCCAGGCTGTTTGCAGGTGGGGGGCGGGGAGGGGGAGAGGAAGGAGAAACCAGCAGATGGAAAATCTCTCTCTTTCCACCTTTTAAATAAAGTGAAAAGAAATAAATTTTAAAAACCCAGTGCCACTGAATTACATACTTAAAATGGGTGAAGTGTATGTACAGCATATGAATTCTATCACAAATACGGGGGTGCCAAATAAATAAATAAAAAACTGGGTTCCTAATGTGGCTGCCAGAAAAAGGTAAAAGAACAGGTTCCTGAGCACAGCCTTGGGGTGCAGCCACAGAAGACAGCACTGGAATACAGTTCCCAGCCTGGGGCAGGTGACTGTTGCCAACATCAGGGACAGGGTGTGGTTCTCTCACAGCCGCACTAGCCACCCATCCTGCAGGAGGGACACAGCCCTGGGGTTAGCTGGTCAGATCCAGGGACCCCGGGCTGTGGCTGTGTAAGCAGCAGAGCCAGCAGCCTTTGTGCTCATAGGATCCGGGCTTCTGCAGACAGGCGGAGAGCTTTCACCTCAGGGGCACCTGCCACAGGAGACCTGTACATGCTATGACATGACTGCCTCCCTGTCTTCTATGATTTATCAAAATGTGCTTATTTTTTCACGTATTTGAGCGGCAGAGAGAGAGAAGCCCACAACAGCCAGAACTGGGCCAGGATAAAGCCAATGTGGGTCTCCCCTGTGGACGGAAGGGAACCAAGGCATGGTGTGAATTTACCAGGAACCTGGAATGAGGAGTGGAGCTGGACTCGAACCCTGGTACTGCCACAGGGGACCTTCTCTCCACCAGAGAGGGTGGGGTGAGGAGCAAACCCTGGGATGAAGGTGGAGGGTGGCTGAGCCACTGGGCCCCTAGCCTCCCTGTTTGCATAGCAAAGCACCTGGAAGGGGAGGTCCCAGACTCTGTGGCAGCAGCTGGAGCAAGCCAGTCCTGGACCAAGGATATCTTTGGCTTCACGTTTAAAAAGCACACTGTGAGCAAGCATGCTTGTTTGTTTCAACAGACAAGAAAGCCCGGCTCTCTCTACCGAAGCCAAAAACATTTACAACAGGCTTGGAGAAATGAAAGGCCATTTTTTCCCCCCTGGGCTTTCCTTCTTTCTTTGGGTTTCCACAAGGAATACAGGGGTCCATTTTTGCAGAAGTTGTTTTGCCTTCCCAACGTAACACAAGCGAAATAGAGCCGGGTGGCTTGGGTTTCTGCAGCCTCACCCTGGCAGCTGTCGGCCCCAAAAGCATAAATCAGTGAGGACACCGAGTGGCAAGCCCGGGAGGCGGGAGGCGTGCCGGAGGACAGCTGGGCGGAGCAGCCAGGCGGCCTGGCCTCTCCTGGTTGGGGAAGTGCTTGGGACTCTGAACAGCTCGGCATCTGGCTCTCCCTCCCCTGGGGATGATCTGTTGCTGCCTGATTCAGCCTAGTGGGTGCCTGGTAACGTGCATGGAGCTCTCTGGGAGTTAGCTGGAGGACTCAAAGGTGCTAGCAGACGCTGCCAGGGCCGGGGGGGCTCTCCTGAGTGACTGCAGAGGGGGCAGTGAGTGACAGAGAGCCCTGCTCCCTTCCTTGGTTGCAGGCTGTGGCCTTCTAACAGTCTGTGGCAAGGACCCAGGACACGAGTTCTGGGAGTGCTTAGGGCAGCTGGCTCCAGCCTGGGGCAGGTACACCTGACTCCAGGCTGTAGGTGCTGAGTGCTGGAGCTGCTTGAGAGGCCCTACTGTCCCTGCTGGGGCTGCCATTCTGGCAGGACTCAGCAGCCAGGGCCAGTCAGGGCCCATCTGGGTGCTGTTGTGGTTGGTGGGCACCACAGAGCTCCTGGGAGAGGGTGGAGGACTCAGGTCCCCGAGGGTCATGTCACCACTGCCCTCATCATGTGCTAGAACCCCCCAGTCAGGCCTGGGCAAGAGGTGGCATCTGAGCCTCTGCTTAGGACACCTGCATCCCCATACCGGAGCGCCACGTCAGTTCCGATCCGACTCCCAGCTGATGTGCCTGGGAAGGCAGCAGGTGAAGGTTTGAGTCCCTGGGCCTCCGTGGCTATGTGAGAGATGCATTGGCAGCCAGTGGTTCCTGGCTTCAGCCTGCTTCATTCTGGGGCATGGGCAGTGCCTGACTCACTGGAAAGGCAAGTAAACTTAACCCTTGCGCTCTCCTCCTGTGCTGTCCCTCTGAGCCCACCGCAGGGACTCCAACACTGGAAGCATTCCCAAGATTGCAAGCCTTCCCCCCACCCCAAGCTCAGACCCTGACAGTCCTGCCTCCTCAGGAAGCCCTGCAGGGGCTTCTTCTTGCTGCCAAACTAGTGTGGGTGGCAGCTGCAAAAGGGATGCAAAAGGGCCAGTCTTGGGGCTGTGGAGGTCAGAGCCCTAAAATCAAGGTCCCAGCCTGGAGGATGGGGGTGGGGGGCAACCGAGTTCCTTGCCTCTTCTGGCTTCTGGAGACCGTGGGGTACGCCTCAGGGACCTCTGCTCCCATCTTCCCATCTTTTCCTCCAGTTCCTGGGTCTCTCTTCAAAGGAGCACTGTTGGCTAACCCTGGCTCCCATGAGCACCTGAAGACCCCCTCGTCACATCTGTGAGGCCTGTCTGGCCACCTCAGCTGACATGTTTCACGTTATGTAAGTTAGGATGTGGACATCTCAGATGGGGTGCAGCTGAGTACTGGCTGGCCTGGTTAACCCCAGATGAATGTAAACTAGGAGAACTTCAAATTCCTGAGGGGGGAGCAAGGAGAGGACAACTCTCAAAGGAGTTTTATCCATGATGGTCATTATTGCTTCAAAAAGATGTGGAGCAAAATTTGGGATGGTGGAACTCCGTATTTACTACATTTTTCTTTTAAAACAAAAAACCCTGAAATAATCTGCATAGAGGGACAAGAATCCGGGAAGGGGGACTGTCCACGAAACCTGAACAGGGATAACAGGATCGAGGGAGGCCACACTTGCAAAGACTGTTAGCAACGTTCATTGGTTTTCCTCTCTGGATCCACGGCTCTCACGTCGCCAGGGCAGGGACCAGACGAGGAAGCCACTCTGGGCAGCAGAGGCGACGAAAATGAGAGGCCAGCAGGAAGCCCAGCCCGGCCAGGAACAAGAGGTGGCGTGGCACTGCCCCCATGTGGCCGCATGCAGCATTACATCCACGACAGCAGCGAAAACTCAAATCCCAGCACACCTGCGAAGGCAGTTTAAGCCGTCGGCAATTCCTTTTCACACTTTTAACCGTGCGTGTTATTGGTTTGTTGTCGCCGATCGAAAAAGAGCAGTGTTTCTTTAGTGTGCAACGACGGACACCAGACATGGGTCCTACACCGAGCATGCGCACACCTAAGTGGGCGGGGCTTGTGCCACGCGTCATCAGAGTCATATACTCTGATTCGCAAGCCCTGTGCCTGGGAGGTAGCGTGGCCGAGTGGTCTAAGGCGCTGGATTTAGGCTCCAGTCATTTCGATGGCGTGGGTTCGAATCCCACCGCTGCCACATCCCTGCGGGCAATATCTTTTGGCTCCTTTCTGACACATTTACTGTGAATTGAACAAGAAAGGAGAAGAACCAGAAACCAGAAACGGCCCAGGCCACAAACCCTACTTCCTTAAAACAGTAACTATGCCCGTTTCCTTGGAAAAATACCTGGGATACCCTGAAAAGTTCCCACCAGTTTGCCTGAAGGCCTGAATTTCTTTACCTCCCAAGGACTCAAGCTTTAGATGGGGGGATTTATAATCCCAGCCTCACTGGGGAGGGTCCCTCTGCAGCTGCTCTGTTTCCTTGGGAGGGCTCAGGCTGACTCACGGACCTCTGTGGGTAGAACAGGTGTGGAGAGACCCTCAGTGGAGAGTCAGCCTGGAGACCCCCCTTCACAGCTTCCCCTCCTACACAGTCCTCAGGCTTGGCTTAGGGCTCCGCACTGACTCACTCTGCAACTATTTCCAGAAAAGCCTACTGGGTGCCACAAACCCCGCTCCTCCTGTGACAGGAAAGGCAGACGTGTCATCATGTCATGAGTTCTGCCATGAGGTGGGTCCCGCCACGTCCAGCTAACCAGGCGGGGCATAGCCAGAACTGATCAGAGGAGCCAAGGGAAGGCGGCAGGAGGCATTTCCAAGAGACGGGAGCTCCCAGGGTTCGAGGACAGCTGAGTGAGGTCAAGGAGAATTCAGACACGCCAGACACGGTGCAGGACAACGAGCTGACGGAGATAAGGGCACGTTGCTGAGGTTCTGGACTGGGACCTGAGGGCTCCGGGGAACTACTGAAGGCTTTTAAGCCACACAGATTCCAGTGTGGGATACGGGAACTTCCCTCTGGAGACAGACGACACCACTCAAAGCCCATGGCAGTAGTCTGGGCAGCGCAAAGCTCTGCCTAGGTGCCCACCGCAGACCAGCCACCCAGCATCCCCTTCGATTCAGCTGCTGGTTCCTCCCAGAGCCCTGCAGCACACAGCCCAGCTGGCCACCTGGCCTGTACCTTGCCTTCCACCCAGGACTCCAGCCGAGCCTCGTCTGCTTTATCCATGGCTCTCCCTTCAAGATTCCGATCCTCAGGACGCTCCGTCTCATCTCCTGCTCTCTGAGCCTCTCCTGGGCTGTGTGCTGCTCAGGGGCAAGATTTCTGGAAGGCCTTGATGTAAGGCCATTATGGGAAGGGTTGAAGAGAAGAAATGGAAAATGTAGGGACAGGCACTTAGTGTTCCTGCTAAGGTGAACTTGGTACATCCCACACACACCACTGTGCTGGGTTCCAATCCTGGTTTTGTTTCTGATGCCAGCTTCCTGCTAATGCGTCCCCTAGGAGGCAGCAGGTCATGGCTCAAGGTCTGGGATCCATGTCGCCACCCACGGGACAAACCTGTGGGTGAGAGGAAAACCTGGGGTGGGGCTCCTGGCTTTGGCCTGATGCAGCCTGGACACTGCAGGGCTCTGGGAGGAACCAGCAGCTGAATCGAAGGGGGTGCTGGGTGGCTGGCCTGCGGTGGGCACCTAGGCAGAGCTTCGCTGCCCAAAGGAAAGCTTAGCGGGAGGCAGTCCTGGCCGTCCATTCTGATTGCTGCCTCGGGCTGGCTGGTGTCCTGCCGGCACTCCGCTTGCTCTCCTCCCCCATCAGCAAGAACCTCCCTTACCTGGGGGATACCGAGGCAGCTTCCAGAAGCCCCACGGGTTGCACCTGTCCGCTGGGTGAAGACCCTGAGAGGAAACAGGACTTCTGGCCTGGCTGCCCATGGCGCCCTCCTCCCCAGAGCTGGGTGTTCTATTTCAGAGTTTGGGGGATGACGTGGCCTGGTCTCAGTGCAGAAAATCAAGACCTGACTCTGGGCTGGAGGGCTCAGAAGCTGAGGATGGGCCAAAGACAGAAGATCTGGCCCCTCACAGTGGGTCTTTGTTCTCCCCTTAGGATTTCTCAGCACTGGGGAGAGGAGATCCACAGAGGGCAAAGAGGTGAACTGGGATGTGAGTCTGTGACTGGGAAAAAAGGGAGACTGTCCATCCCCTGACGGCCCTTGCTTTGCATATCTGAGATTCCAGAAGATTCCAGAGTCCAATCCTAAGTCTGGATGCACACAACAGAACCCTCTGTCAGGTTTCTGCCACAGAAGGCCGCGGGCAGCTTCTCCACATCGCCTCCCTTACAAGGCAAGACCCCAGGTCTCCCTGCCCCCCTGAAGTCAGACACAAGGATACACCCTACTGTAGGGGTGCCTCTCAAACTATGGAAGAGTCTAGAAGGAAGTGAAGCACTAAGCCAACACAAAGGGTCGTTACTCATTAAAAAAAAAAAAAATCAGACAATTCTGCCTGGCAAAGGCCCCTTGCCCAGCTCGCTTGTCCAGCACAGGGGGACGCACCGTGCCCTGGCCACCGTGGAGGGGGGGTTTGTCCTGGTGTCCCACCTTGCCCGGGTCCAGGGTTTAAGGGGACATGGCTTCCTGTGTCCATCGTGAAGGAGACACATTTAGGGGTCTTGGAACCCCCAGCCACCAGCGGGGTGACACCGAGGCAGAGCACCTCGGGAGAGTGCGGCGGGGGCTGGACCTTCCCTGATGACCACTTTAACCAACAAACATTGAACACTGAACCCGAAAATACGACCGCCAAAGCTCTGCGTTTTTTGTTTTTCCACATTGTCAGTATACTTTGAAAAACACATCCAATTCGTTCCAAGGTGAGCTAGCTTTCTGGGGCTGCACCCCGTGCTTCCTCTGCAGTCACCCACACACCTGCCCGCCAGCCGAAAACCCCCCAAAGGCCCACACGGCCGGGGCTCAAGCCGGGTTCCCGAACGTTCCTCCAAGGGCCCGCCCAGCCTGGCCAACACCAGGAAATGTCCGGGTCAAGAGTGACGCCCCGAATTCCGGGGTCAGGGCAGCTCCGACGCGACCGCGCCAGGCTGCCCGACCTCGACACCCGCCACGAGCAGCCCCAAGACCGAGAGAGGGTCCCCCCCGCCCCAGCGCGCCCCGGTTAGCGCCCGGCACCGTCCTGAGGAGAACGCGCCCCGGGGCGGAGTCGGAGGGCGCCGGCGGCCACGCGGCTGCACGCGACGGGGAAGGCCCGGACTGCGCAGGGCGGAGCAAGACCGGAGCCGCGCCCCGAGGGACGGGTCAGGCCTGAGGGCGGCCGAAGCCGAGCAGACAGGGCCGAGCGCAGGGTCCGGAAGGCGGGAAAGGGCCGAGCACTCACCAGGCCAGAGGGAAGAGCAAAGGGGCAGAGAGGACCCGGTCCGGGGAGCGGGCCAGGGGCGAGTGTAGTTCTACAACGGGCAAGGCAGGGGCGGGGTCAGAAGGGCTGGGGGCGGGGCCAGAGCACGCGGGGCGGGACGCGAGGCGGGGCTAGGACAAGGGCAGGGCGTGCCCAAGCCCGAAGGCGGAACAGGGCAGGGGCCAGAGCACGAGGGGCGGGGCGTGGCAGGGGGAGGGACTAGAGTGTGCCCAGCCCGGAGGGCGGGACACGGGGAGGGGCCAGGACAAGGGTAGGGCATGTCCAAGCCCGAAGGCGGGACAGGGGGAGGGGCCAGAGCGTGCTCACGCCGGGAGGGCGGGGTATGGGAGGGACTAGAGGGCACGAGGCGGGGGCAAGGGCGGGGCTTGTGCGTTCGGGGCGGGACAGGGGGAGGGGCCAGAGCGTGCTCACGCCGGGAGGGGCTAGAGCGCACGAGGCGGGGCCAGGCTGTGGGGGCGTGGTATGGGGAGGGGCCTGAGCGCCCAAGCTCGAGGGCGGGACAGGAGGCGGGCTAGTGTGCTCGGGGCGGGACAGGGGGAGGGGCCAGAGCGTGCTCACGCCGGGGAGGCGGGGCATGGGAGGGGCTAGAAGCGGTGGGCGGGGCTTGACCGCTCGAGGGCGGGGCCAGGACGTGTCCTCGCCTGGGGGCGGGGCGTGGGCGACAATGCCCTCTGGCCGGTAGCTGCTGCCCACGGCCGTCACAGACGCTCCTCGGTCGCCTGCAAGGGTTGCAGATCTAGGAAGCGCAGGAGCAGGGCGAGCAAGCCCAGGAACAGCAGCAGCCCGAGCAGCCACCGCAGGAGTGTCCGTGCGGGGGAGCCGCGAGGCCGCCGGCTCGTGGACTGCACGTACAGCTCCACGGCGTCGGCGAAGCTGAACTTGTCCGGCGCGTAGCCAAGCTGAGCGCGGGCCTTGGCGATCCGGAAGGTGTGCGTGACTGCCACGCTGTGCACCTGCAGGGAGAGGCGGGCAGCTGAGGACGGGCTCGCGGGAAGAGAGGACAGGGATGCCCCCCTCGGTCACAAGGCTCGCCCTGTGCCATCCTCGCCCAGGAGGACTTCCATTCCCTCTTCCAGCTCCTTTTTCTTGCAGGATGCCTCCTCCCTGTGCCCTCTCTTCCCCTGCAGCCCCGTGGTCCCGTCTGGGGCCTGGGAGCAGCTGTTTGGAAGACACGACCTTATTGGCTCCCCGCACCGGCCCCTGGCGCAGCCTCCCTGCCCTTCTTTCTGAATTAGCTTCCCTCCTGGAGGCATTCAACGAGTCCCAAGCGAGCTGCATTTTCCCTGCTGCCAGATGGCCCTGTGTTAAGACAGCTATCAATTAGGGAATGTGCGTGCTCTGTGCTGGGCCCCGGCCAGGTCCTTTCTCTCTTGCTGACATTTAATCCTCTCCTCTCCTGTTTGCAAGTCGAACATCTGACAGGTTAGGTGAGGTGCCTTGCCGGGGGTCACGCAAGGGCAAGAGGCTGCTTGGTTGGCTGTTCAGCTAGGTTGGGGTGTGTGTAAGGGGGAGTCCACTAGCTGCCTGGTTCTCCATCCTCTGGTCTGGGATCCCAGACAGGCAGGAGGAAAAGGGGAGATGGAAGTGGGCCGGCAGGGCACCGTGCAGTTTGTAAATTCAGGCCTTTTGAGGAATGATCTAATCAAAAATTTCCAAAGCCTGCTTATTGTCTGCTGTTCTGTGGTGACAGAGCTGTGGGCTGGAGAAGCAGGGTCCTGGCACACAGAGCGGAGACCACCTCCTCTGGGAGTGCTCCCCAACACCCTCAGAGCTGGTCTGAGCGCCCCTGCCTCCTGACCTGGACTTCCTCACCATTCATCATCACCGCGTGTATGCAGTGTCTGGTGTCCGGGCTCCCTTCCCCTGTCTTCTCGCCTCCACCGTGGTCTTTCCGCAGTGGAAGAAAAAGACCTTGTACAAAATCCAACTTGCGGGCTGCTGTGCTGCAAGAAGGCCAGCAGAGGGCGCGCGGGACGCAGCCAGACCTCCCAACCCTGTTGCTGAACCCAACGGAGGTCCAACCCCTGCCCCACGTCAGTCCAGCTGTGGGACGCCGATATATCATTTCCCACAGCCTGTTGCCAGCTTGGGATCACTGGGGTCTGGGTTTGGATGAGTGATGGTTGGCGGGTTGAGTCAGTTCCTCCTCTGTAAATGGCTGTGATTGTTGTCTATAGCTCAGACAGAGCAAAGCCCAAAGGAGGCAGCACCGCTCAGCACAGGGTCACTGTTGTCACCACTGTGTACCAGGCCGGGTGGCTCAAGGGGGACTTCTCTCAGGTAATTGTCCTCCCTGTGCCTGGTTCTCCCCTTCCCACACCCAGGCTTAGAGGGCCCTGGACTTGAACTTGGAGCCAGTCTCGGCAAGGTGCATCGGGCAAGTCACTGTACAATTTCCCATGATAGAATGTACATCATCATCTTCCTGCCCCTCCTGCCTTAGCCTCAGACAGAATGAGTCGACTGGAAGGGTTTCTGCAAGTGACTTCAAGCACAACCCGTTGCTTTACTGTTTACGATCTCCATGAAATCTGTTCTCCAATGCTGTTACGCTAAGCAAATAAAAGTGCACCATCCTTATGGCTTAAGAGTCTTCTGTATAGTGTGTGTACTTAATATATGCTTATTACCCGGTACTTGTGTGTGTGGCTGGTGCACAGCAGTGGCATTCACAAAACAGAATGTTGGGATGGGTGTTGGGCACAATGAGTAGATAAGGTGCCTGCCTCCCTATCGGAGTGCCCAGGTTCAAGTGTAGCCTCCACCTCCAATTCCACCTGCCCGCTAATCTGCACCCTGGCACACAGCAGGAGATGCATCAAGTGTTGGGTCCCTGCCACCCTAGTGGGTGGTCCAGACGGCATCCCCCAGCTCCTCGCTTCAGGCTGCTTGAGCCCTCATTGTTGTGGGCATTTGGAGGACTGGACCCGTGGATGGAAGATCTCTCTGTGTCTCTTGGACGTTCAAATAAACAATTTGAAAAGTGACTCTGGATGCCTCCTGTAGGCTGGAAAGTCGAAGTGCTTATGAACAAAGACACTGGTAAGTGATGGGCTGGGGTCTTGGGTTTCAGGCCAAGAGAGCACACCTTGAGTGGAGGCCACCGGGTAGGGTGAGCATTGAGAGCTGTGTGGGAGATCTGGACGCCTCTGACGCATCCCCGGTCATGGTGTCAGATGGGTGAGGTGGGGCGTGGGGTGCAGGGGGGCAGCCGCTTACCTCACTGCGGGTGAGCAGGGGTGGGATGCTGCAGATGGGCCTCAGAGCCAGGTGCAGGAACTCCATGACGGTGGCTGCAGGAGACAGGGACCAGTGTGACACCAGTGACTGGGGACCAGGGGACAGCTGCAGGGGAGGGAGGTTGCCTTGCTAAGGGTCATTTGGCCAAGGTCATTGCTAAGGACATTGGGTTCTTTTTCATCATACAGGATGGGGTGTCTTGCTGAGCTGTGGAACAGGTCACCAACAACCTGTTGTTAGCTTCCGAGGACAAATAAATTTAGATAGATTCTCAGATTTCCCTGTAACAATGTATTTCTCCCTTCCATCCCAATACACGCTCCTCAGTGGGAGACAGACATCAGAGCACTGATGGCTCTCAAACTGAAACCCGTGAGGCTGGCATTATGGCACAGTGGGTTAAGCTGCCACCTGTGTAAGAGCTGCTCCATTTCCTGGTTGCTCCACTTCCAGTTCTGCTCCCTACAAATGTACGTGGGAAAGCAGTGGAAAAAGGCCCACGTGTCTGGGCCTCTGCCGCCCACCTAGGATCCCTGGATAGAGTTCTCGGCTCCTGGCTTCCCTCCCAGCCAGCCTAGGCCATTGCCACCATTTGGGGAGTGACTCGGTAAATGGAAGATCTCTCTCTGTCTCTCTCTCCTTAACTCTGCCTTTCAAATTAAATAATTGTAGAGCAAAACAAAAACAAAAAACCCCACCCAGCAGTTCTGGCCCAGATTTGCAGAAACAGTCTGTGCGTTTGAGGGTCTCTTGCCCTGCCTATGCCCACCACTCAGCACCATGTGCCTGCTCTGCAGTTCCTTAACTGGTCCTCAGAGTGAGGAGTCACTGAGGTTAAAATGGCACCTCCACCAGTCCCCAAAGAGCCCCAGCTTCAGGGCTGGGAAAGCAGCCCTCGCAGGACACCTCCAGCCCAGGCCAGAGGAAGTCAGTCAAGCCCAGGTGGGAATTCTTCTCTTCCCACCTCCACCAACGGCCTCAGTGCCTCATCTCTACAATGGGTCCAATCACATTCTCCTTGCACATAGAACAAAATTTAAACAGGGCTAGGATCAGTGTGAAGGGAGTGAGGACCCAGGATTTTTTTAAAAATATATTTATTTTTATTGGAACGGCAGATCATATTTACAGAGAGAAGCAGAGATGGTGAGAAAGACCCTCCATCCACTGGGTCACTACCCAGGAGGTCAGCACAGCCAACCAGAGCTGAGCTCTGAAGCCAGGAGCCAGAAGCCTTCTCTGTGTCTCCCTTATGGGTGCTGGACCCCAGGGATCTGGGACATCCTTCACTGCTTTCCTAGGCCACAAGTAGGGAGTTGGATAGGAAGTGGAGTAGCCAGGACATAAACTGGTGCCCATATGGTATCCCAGTACTTGCAAGGTAAGGATTTAGTTACTTAGCCATCACAGGGCCTGGGAGTTTGAAACTTAAGGGGGCACTTGCTCCCAAGGGGTCACAGAAGCACAGGACCAGGCTCAGTGGGGAGACACCTGCATGGCCACCTTAAATTTGTGTCCTAGCCCTGGCCCTAGGTTTAAAGCAAGCAATGCTGGGGCACCTGGCTTCCACACAGGTACTCCTTTCCTTACCTGTCAGGTAAACCCAGGAAGTCGGCACCTGGATCCAGGGCTGCCTGCGCCCTAGCTTCTCAAACTGCAAGAAGACCATGGCCAGAGGTGAGAAGAGAAGGGCGACCTGCTCCCTCCTCCCACTGACAGTCCCGGGGACAGCGGAAGTTCCTCATGCCCCTCAGGCACCCTCCCAAGGGGGCTGCCCCTGGGTCCAGGCCTGAGTCTGCACCCAATGAAATCCACAGCTCCAACTGAAATGCAGGAAGAGGATTTTAACCTGGGATCCCTTATGTCACTTCCTCCTGACACCTCCCCTCCACTCCAGGCACTCATCAGCAGGCCCTGATCTTTCTAGAATAACTTCCCTAAGAAAGGAAAGAACCTGCAGCCTGTGTGTGGCAGGCGGCAGGGGACAGCCGAGAAGATGGCTGTTGCAGAAACACTCTCCCCATCAAAAGACAAAGACAAGGGCTTGGTGGGGAGGGGCAGTGCACACAGGCGCATTGACACACTTAGAACCCTGGGTGTCAGCTCCTGGGGGCAGGGTGGGGAGTCCAGAGGTACCAAGCAAGTGGGTAACTCCGCACCCAGGTATCATAGCACACCACAACAGATGGAATTGTGTATCCACAAACAGGCAGGCACATGCTTACAGCAGGACTCTGCCCAACAGCCTTCAAGGGAAAAAACTCAACTTGCCCTCAGCCAATGGATGCATGAAACAACATGGGCACAAGGCTTTCAGCAGCTTTCAAAAGCCAGGAGCCAGAAGCCATCTGGGTCTCCCGCTTGGGTACAGGAGCCCCAGTCCTCTGCTCCCCCAGGTTTCTGGTCTCCTCCTTCCTTGCAGGCTAGCCCTGAGAAGCAATCCCTGAGCTTGGAGAGCAGAGGTCGGAGTTTCCTGAAGGGGCTGTGGCCCCAAAGCTGGTTGGTTCCCTGTGCCTCAGCTGTCCCCCTGCATCGCTTCCTTCAGAACCTTCCAAAGGGGTGGTGGAACACAGGTGATTTTCCCAGGGCCAGAAGCCCCCATCATTTAGGCAACAGCAGTCCAGTGTTTGGTTAAGAAGTCCCTTGGGACTTGGGCATGCCTCATTGGGATTGCGTCTCTGCTCCGCTTCTGATTCCAGCTGCCTGCTAACGTGCACCCTGACAGGCAGCAGGTGGCGGCCCGAGGACATGGGTCCCTGCCAGCCACACGAGAGACCTGAATGCAGTTCCAGGCCCCCAGCTTCTTTTGTTTGGCCCAGTCCCTGCTGTGTATGGGCATTCAGGGCGGTGAACCAGATGGACCATGGGAGTTCTCGCTCAATCTCTCCACACTTTCAAGTTAAAAAAAAAAAGAAAAGTAATAAACATATAAACTAAAAAATAAAATTGGAAACAACCAGGAAGCAGGTTGGAAGGTTACTGGGTTAAACTGGGGAGTAAGTGGACTCCCCAAAAGGGCACGCAGGATGGGCTCCAGCCAGTTCCATGGTCACCCAGGGCATAGCTCCGACCTCAGCAGCAACTTGGTAGTATGGAATCTGTTTCAGGGAAGGTGGATGGGTTGGGGTATGGGGGCAAAGAAGGCCAGGGGCACCTACCAGCGGGGCCATCCACTCGAAGACGTTGACACTCTCGCCGTCATTGATGTAGTATGCCTGACCGCTCTGAGGGGACAGAGTGGGACAGGGAGTGGGACCCTACCCTTCTCAGAGTGGGGTCCCTACAGATGCCCCAATGCCTCTTGTTCTCTTGAGCAAGGCAGACCTTGTCTCTTGTGGGAACAGACCTGGGTCACCCCCTGTGAATTTTGGGGGAGACCACCACCAAGATGTGCGAGGGCAATAAAATGCCCCCTCCAATCCCCACACCAGGCTGTGGTGAACAGGGCAATGCAACAGTACATGGCACCTACTTCTCTGGTACAAACTCCACTGATCTCACTGGTCACCATGAGATCATAGCAATGCTCCATAAAGAAACTCCTGTCCCCACCCCCCCAAAAAGCTTCTGCAAGGACATGCATTGGCAGCCCTCAGGGCCTCAGTTGGAGGTCAGGGATTAGGTCCCCAGGGGCCGGAGTCAGAGTCCCCTGCCTGTAGCCCATGGGAGAAGGGGAGGACTCACAGCCACGAAGCCCTTGGCCGCAGTGAGCGCCTCGGCCGCCAGCACATGTGCCTGTACCAGGTTGCACACATGGACCCAGTTCATGCGTGTCTTGCGGTCTCCAAATCGGAACACGAACAGCCTTCTCTTGATGTGGCTCTGAGGAGGTGGAGGGGACGAGACATAAGGGCTGCAGTCTGGAGGGACTCCACATCATGCCATTCGCAGGTCTGCCCACCGAGGATGCCTCTCTCCCACTCCACACCCACACCCAGGAGTTCTGGCTCCCCAAGGAAGCCATCCAGCACACGCTCCCTCCCAGCGTTACCACTCATTGTCTGTCACCAGGACATATTGTCCCTTTCTCACTGCCCCCCTCACTTGTTTGCTGCCTAGCCAAGGAGATCCTTCTCAGCCCTGAGGCAAGCCAGGTCTCCACCCCCACACCCCCAGCTCTCATCCTCCCGGGTGCCATCTTGCCTACTGAAAGTGAAGTCCTGACAGTGGCCTAGCAGCCTTTCCTCACCTGTCCCCAACCACTCTGGGACTCTGTCCCCTTTTAATCCCCGTAGTGGCTCTGCCAGTGCCACATGTGGCCCCCTCACTCTTCTTGGACCATCTCCGGGTTTAGGATTCCATCACTGCCACCCTGCACCCAGTAGGTCCTTCCTCCAGATTGTTGCACACTGCATTCCGCCAGCTCCCCACAGTGCAAGTTTCTTGCCACTTTCCGTGGGAGGCTCCCTGAGGATACTGGAGCTCAGGGGGACAGCAAGTGTCCCTGTGTCTTACTGAGCTGTCCCCAAACCTGAACGGTGCTGAGCACAGAGCAGGAACTCAACTATACCTATTCAAGGACTAAGAGCCTGAATGGGGTGAGCATCCCTGGGAGTGACCCCATATCCTGTAAGAACCCAGTGAAGAGAAAGAGGCAGAAAAACCTAGCACAGGAAGGTGTTCAAACCGCACTCCAGGTCTTTCCAAACTGGAAGTCCTCCTGGGCCTCCCCTGCAAGGCCCATTGTTTTGTCCCTCTCTCACATTAGCTGTGCCCCTTGAACCCTGTGGGGGTACTCCTGTGTATGGGAGGGATGACCCACCCAGCCCAGGAAGCCCCCGGGGTGAGGACAGGCTGTAGGCTCCCTTCTCTGCTTTCTCCTCCAGGGTGACCTGCACCTTGTTGCACATACTGATATCGCAGCAGGCCTGAGGATGGGGGCAAAGGGCCTGTCCCAAACTTGAGGGTCCCAGGCTCGGGACATGGCTTCAAACACTGTCAGTGGGTAGGGGGCCTGAACAGTGTGCATGCCATCCGGCCTCCTGTTTGCCTTGGTTATGGGGGAAAAAACCGGGACAACCACCACGACAACAATGACGTACTGCTACTCGTGGCAGGTGCCTCTGCTCTTCAGGGCCGTAGATGCCCGGGGGCCGCAGCACACAGGTCCGGAGGGTCCCTCCTCCTAGGATGTGGGAAATAGGGCAGTCAGGGGCCTGGAGGAGGGTAGGAGGGCAGCCCAGTAGGGAGAGGGAGAGGAGGGCTGTCTATATCTCCCAATCCTGCAGGTTACACGGAACTCTTGCGGTTTCCTCTTCCAAACCACCACTCAGTGCACCTATCAGTCAACAAACAGGCCCCTTCCACCCTACACCCACCACGGATGGATGATGGGAAGAATGTCAGGCCTGCTTCCATGGTGTTCACAGACACACCTGGCCCACACTCCCTTGCCCCAGGAATGCTAGTTCTTTCCCTTTTCTGATCCTGTTAGATGAGGATCCACGGTTGCCCTCAGAAAGGCATGGATAGGTTCCTGTAGCCCTAGGAAGCCAAGATTTTTTTTCCTCGAGGTGACCCTGTGAGTGGGGACTGTAATTTTCCCCACTTCAGGGATGGAAGAGACTCTGAGAAGGGCTGGGACTTGTTGTAGGTCACATGAGGCACTGAGATGGGGATGCTTCCCTAAGACCCAAGGCCAAGCAAGCAGGAAATCCATCATTCAACTCTCTCAGCCTTAAGTTTCTCCTCTGGAAAACGGGTGCTTTGTATGTGGTGGCAGTGGTCCTGCTTTCCAATCCATGGGGAAAGGAAAGGTCTCAGTCTACCAGCTGAAAGCATGGGGAATTTGCTCCCCGTATGCTGCACTGTCTTAACAGAGTCCTCCAGACCCCAATGGAGTCGAGAGAGAGAGAGAGAGAGAGAGAGAGAAAGACTCTCCCTCCTGAGACTCAAGCTCCCCCAAGTGGCTACACCCCCAGGGGCGTGGGGGTCCAGGGGATATGATTCTCTGGGTACCCTACCCTTCTGCACAAGGTCACAGATGGCTCACATGGGAGCCAAGAGATGTTCTCACCTAGGAGTCTTACTCCACTATGCTAGGACCACAGGAAGGGACCAACCCTGAGAACTCTGATGATCATCCCCTCCCCGCCAGGTCTCCAAGGCTGCCCTGACTCCAGTGGGCCATTTTCCTGGAAATCCATTTTCCCACAGTTATCCCACATCCTATCCAAGTTCCCTGTGGTTAGCACATTGACATATAGGTTAATCCTCCCACTGAAGTGCTGGCATCCCATATATGAGTGTTGGTTTGAATCCCAGCTGCTCTACTTCTCATCCTCACTATTATAGTGAAGGAAAGCGGTGGAAGATGGCTCCTGCACTCACATGGGAGACCTGAAGAAGCTCTTGGCTCCTGGCTTCGGATCTGCTCAGTTTTGGTTGTTATGGCCAATTGGGGAGTGAACCAGTAGGTGCAAAGTCTCTCTGTCTCTCCTTCTCTCTATAAATCTACACTTCCAATAAAAACAATTTAAAAAAAAATATGAGCTCCCTTTTCCCTACACATGACCATGGCCATTGTCTCTGGGTCACCATGAAACACCCTGATGGCTGCAACTCCAGTGGTTCCTAGATGGTAACTGTGTCCCGGAACTTGAGAATGTGACCTTAGATGGAAAAGAGTCTGCAGAAGTCACGAAGGCTCAGGATGAGCGCATCCCAGATTACCCCAGCATCCTTGGGTCAGAGATCATGCAGACGGGGGCTGGCATTGTGGTGCAGCAAGTTAGTCTCTGCTTGGGATGCTGGCATCCCATTTAGGTGCTGGTTCAAGTCCCAGCTGCTTTGCTTCCAATCCAGCTTCCTGTTAACGCACCTGGAAAAGTAGCAGGGGACAGTCGGAGTGCTAGGGCTCCTGCCACTCATGTGGGAGATCCTGATGGAGCTCCTGGCTCCAGCATGGCTCAGTCCTGGCCATTGCAGTCATTTTGGGGAGTGAGCCAGCTGATGGAAGATCTCTCTCTCTTTCTCTCTGACTCTCCCCCTCTCTGTGACTCTGCCTTCAAATATAATAATAATAATAATAATAATAACAACAACAACAATAATAAAGATGCAGACCAAGAGAAGCCATGTGAAGGGGCTAGAGAGGGGTACCCACAAGCCCAGGAGTGCACAGAGCCACCACAATTGGGAAACGACCCACAGGGCTCCTACCCTAGAACCTTGGGATGGGGCAGCATAGCCTGGCACACAGCTACCACGTGGTCTACAGGTGTAGTGAAAAGGAATGTCTGTTGTTCTATGTGTTCCATCTAGGATATTCACAGCTCCCGAGATAGGTCACAGCTCCTATGACCCCAAGCTGGCATCTGTGCGTCTTAGAGTCTGCTAAGGACACCAGGGCCCTCTGTGCCCCACTCTGTGGAGTCAGAGCCGGGCAACAGGGGAGTGGAAATCACCCCGGGTGACCGAGGCTGCATTCCTGGGAGGTAGGTATCAGGTGAGCTGCACTATAAACAGCCAATGGCTAATTTTAAGCTCTGGGTCACCTGGGCAAGGTGTGGAGGGGTGGAGATGAGGAGGCTGAGTTGCAGCTGCCATTGGCTGGGGTGGGGGGCACTGGGCAGCCACGTCACGGGGGGCTGGGTCTGGTATCCATGACTCTGCTGACCATGGAAAGCCAGAGATGCTCATATAAATAATTCTTGGCTGGCGGATTAGGTGTCTGGCTCGCAGGCTGCTGGCCCGGCTGAGAGAGGCCCCAAGCAAAGAAAAGAATTCAACTACACAGGGTAAAATTCCCCCCAAATATAGGGGGTATCCCCAACCCCCTCTACTTCCACTGACTGGGGTCAGGGGTGGTCTGATTGGCTTCACGTGATGGGGGCTGTGGTGGGAGAGGTTTTTTTTTTTTTATGAAAATAGTCCATCCTCATGGGTCCACTCAGCTGTGGGCAGCCTGGCCCAGTAAGTCCAAAGGGCCTTGCTGGGAGACTCCCTAGCAATTCAATCCCATTTTGATCCTCCAACTTTTTTTTTAAAGATTTTTTTTTTTTTTAATTTGAGAGGCAGATTTTACATAGAGAAAAGAACAGAGAGATCTTCATTCCCCAAGTGGCCAGGGAAGCCTGGGCTGGGCCAGTCCAAAGCCAGGAGTCAAGAGCTTCTTCTGGGTTTCCCACACGGGTGCAGGGTCCAAAGGACTTGGGTCATCCTCCACTACTTTTCCAGGCACATTAGTAGGAAGCTGGATTAGAAGCAGTAAGAACTTAAACCAGTGCCCATATGGAATACCAGCGTTGTAGACAGAGGTTTAACCTACTATACCACAGTGCCAGCTTCCCCCTCCCCTCCCCCCGCCGCTAACCCTTTAAAGGCCATACAACATTGAGTTTAGTCAGTTGACCTCTCTCAGTCTCAATTCTCTCATTTGTAAAATGGGCATCCCTCTCTCTACAAATGCATTTGGCTTCTGAGTTGAGAAGGTTTGGGTAGGCAGGAGCTAAACTACCTGTGTCCTTTTAGTTTTGAATCCCAGAAAGCAAGGAATTGAAGATACTGACAGCACCTAAGATGCTCAGGTCTGGGACCAGCACTGTGGCACATTGGGTAAAGCCACCAACTGCAGACTCCTGCAGACCCAGCATCCCATATGGATGTCAGTTTGAGTGCTGACTGCTCCACTTCTAACCCAGCTCTCTCTGCTTGTGTACCTGGGAAAGCGGCGGAGGATAGTGCAACTACTTGGGCCCTAGCACCCACGTGAGATACCTGGAAGAAACTCCCAGCTTCAGATGACCTCAATTCTGGCCATTGCAGTCATTTTGAGAAGTGAACCTGCAGATGGAAGTTCTCTTTCTGTCCCCTAACCTCCCTAAGACTGCCGTTCAAATAGACAAACACATCTTACAACAAAACAAACAAAAGAGACTCATCCCATCTTGGAGTGCCTGGGTTCAAGACCCAGCTCTGCTTCCAATGCCAGCTTCCTGCTGATATGCACCCTGAGAGGTGCCAGGTCATGGCCTAGCCCCTTGCTGCTGCAGGCAGCTGTGGACTGAATAAGTGAATAGAAAATCTCTGTGATTCTCTGACTTATAAATCAATCAATGAATCAATCATTCAGACAGAATAAATAGAACTGGCATGCCAAATAGCACCTGGCATGTAGGAAGCATTTAATAAATGTAGGCCACTGATATATCTATTATTCCACCTCTATAACCCAAAGAGGCAACACAGTGAGGCAACTGAGGCAGATTTGCCTGGAAACGTACTCAAGGTCAAGCTTTAGGCCCCTTCCAACATGTTGCCCCTCCTCCCAGATCATCATGGTGTATTCTTCTAAGAAGACCCCCTCCTTGTCCACCACCCCACTCAGCTACATCCACTTTTGGGCAGCAGAAACAGGATCATTGGGTCAGCCCAAGCTTCTCCCCATCAGACAACAACCAAGGTGCGGGCAGAGACTGGCCTGGATCCCCCTGCAGAGTGCTGGAGCACAGTTACATGCTTGAAATTTGTTAGCTGATGGACAGCCAAGGCAGACCTCAGACCCACATTGCTAAAGGCTGCAATCACACACACACACAAACACACACACACAGCACTCACCTGGAAGAGGGGTCCCGTTGGCCATGAGCATCAACTGGTCAGCGATGGCTTTGGTCCGGGAGTAGTGGTCCATGTGCTGTAAGAGGCCAGGGAGGACAGGTCCACCAGACTGGGATGAGCCTTTGTTGTTAGCAGCTCCTGCCCAGCCCACACCTCCACCTTCCCACGGGCCACGGGCCGTGGGGGTTGTGTTCTAGGGACTCCCACTGGGGTGTGGCCCTTCCTCTCCCTGAGGGAGGTAATACCAGTCAATGATGAGCACAGAGAGGCCCTCATGTGCTCCCAAACAGCGGCCTGCCTTTAGCATTCACCTGAGGTTTGCCATCCCCACTATGGGTGATCCTATTTTCCTGTCTCCCTAGCCCATCCCTGGGTGGTCTCAGCCCTGGATAAAGAGATGGAAGCTTAGAGACTTGCTCAGGGTCACAGAGCTGGCAAGTGGCCAGGTCTCAGGACTTGCTGACATAGAAACGCTGGCCTCACCCTGGGACTTCACTTCCCCTCCCAGGTGATAGTGGGTGGGTCCCAGGCCTGCTGGCCTTGTCCGCCTCTCCCGTGGTACCTTGTCCAGTGGAAAATATGGCACGGAGTCCTCATCACCTTGCTCTATGGGCTTCCCGCCAAAGGCCACGTTGACGGTGCTGGTGTACACAAGCCGTGGGACACGCCGGCGGACACAGACTGCAACAGGTGCATGGTGCAACACACATATGGACACACACACACACACATCAGGCAAAGGGTGAGCAGGAGGCCGGCTAGAGAGGTGCCTGTGAGAACCCCTCACAGGCACATCCACTGATAGCTACCCAGGCTTCTGCATACACCCTGGCTCCCAGGCCTTGTCACTTAGGGTGAGGGTCAACTTCAGGCTTCTGTCCCTGGTGGGGGACAGGTCTGACTCATTCTTTCTTCTCAGTGTGTCCGTAGTCCCTAAGCTGTCTCACCAGGGACAGGTCAGAACAAAGTCTTCCGTCGATAGGGACACAGCAAAAACCACTCTAGGATCAGAGAGGAAAACAGAGTGCAGGACAAGGCAGAGGCCCAGACATGGGATTCCTGTTTTGGACCTTCCTTATGCCCATCTCTAAGCCATGAGTGTCCAACCCTACTCCCCCCCAGTCCCAGACAGGCCAAGGCTGTGAGGGTACTTCCTGGGCAGGCCCCAGGCAGGTGCCTAGCTGTGCTGGGAGGCCCTCCATGGAGGTAGCCAGAGGGTCCCATGTCTGTTCCTCATGCTTGTCTCCAAGCTGGGATAATGACCAGAGAGTGGAGAGGAGGAAGCACACAACAGGTTACACTCAGTCCTAAACGCCTACCATCAATCACCAGCTTGGTGCCTCCAACATTTATAGACTCAATCTGTTCTTTTTGCAGCTAGAAGATAAGATGCAGGTGGGAAGGACAATCATGATGGGGATGAGGTTGGGAGTTGGGGTGTGGTAGAGGGTTAAGGAAAGCAGGGACAGCTGACTGTTGAGCCTAGAGTGGAATTCCATCTGATGATCCACTCCCCAAGTGACCGCAACAGTCAGTGCTGCACCTATCCAAAGCCAGGAGCCCAGATCCTTTTCCGGGTCTCCCACACAGATGCAGGGTCCCAAGGCATTGGGCCACCCTTGACTGCTTTCCCAGGCCACAAGCAGGGAGCTGGATGGGAAGCGGGGCTGCCAGGATACGAAACTGGCGACCATACGGGATCCCGGGCCTGTTCAAGGGGAGGACTTTAGCTGTTAGGCCACAGTGCAGGGCCATATCTATCTGTCTATCTATCTATCTATCTATCTATCTATCTATCTATCTATCTATCTATCTAGCTATTTTTTTAAAGGGCAGCAGTATTTGGCACAATGTTATGGCACCATGGTTAAGGCACCGCCTGGAGTGGCACATTCTCATTCTTTATTGGAGTGCCTGGGTTTGAGTCCTGGCTCTTCTTCTGACTCCATCTTCCTGCTGATGCCCACTGTGGGAGACAAGAGCTTGGGTCCCTATCACCCACAAGAGAGACCCAGACTGAGTTCCAGGTGTCTTGTTCTGGCCCAACCCGGGATCATTGTTGGCATTTAGGCCTTGAACGGATGGTCGAAAGAACTGTCTCTCTCTGCCTCTCTACCTTTAAAATAAATAATGTTTTGATAAAGAGTGGAGAATAAAAAGGAAAATTCTCTCTCATTTCTGATTCATGCCTTTTCCCTCCCTGGATAATCACTATTGGTTTCATATGTTTCCAGAGATAAGCTGTGCTTGTTAATAACAGTACACATGGCTTAAGGAAAAGCTAAACAAGCATTAATCCCTTTCTTTTAAACAAATGCAAGGGAACCACGTACTATTTTACACCTTGGAGATCATCCTGACATTGGTGCACATGGAGGTACCTCTGGAAGAGCTACGTAGAAGTTCACTGCATGGCTACAACACAATTGATTTAACTGGGCCTTGACTGATGGGTCTTTCAGCTATGTCCAGCTTTGTCACTGAAGATGCTGCTAAGGTGTCCACTCCTACTTTGATGACTACTCTCACACTGCTGTCTGGAGAGGTGATGACCTAAGTAGTAGCAACGTCCTCCTTTTCTAGATAAGGAAACTAAGGCTCGGTAAGGTTACATCATCTTACATTCTAGCCACACAGCTGGAAAGAGGCCGAGCCAGCATCTGGTCTCCCAGCTGCAGAGTATGGGTTGGGATAACAGCTCAAACCCTTCCCATAGTGGGCAAAGAGCAGGAAGGAAGACATGGGCCCAGCCAGGACTCAAACCCTTTCTTTGTTTCTTCCAGGTGGTCTACACCAGGAGTTCACCTTCTCAGCGCCGGACATCCCATAGGAGGCCATGTGAAAGACACAGTCCACCCCTTCGAAGGCACAGTATAGGGCTTCTTCATCTCGGATGTCAGCCTGGAATAGAACAGAGAAGGGGGCGGGAGGTCCAAGTTCAAGGCAAACAGAGACCGCAGTTTTGCACCATCCCAGGACCCAGAGCTGGCCTCTGACCAAGCCTCTAGAGGGATAAGAAAGGCTGGGGGTAGCCTTGACATCAATTCTCCATTTATTAAGCTCTGCAGATTGCGGACTGCACCAGGAGTGTTTCACACATTTGTCTGTTCAGCTCCCAGCAAGCAGAGATTACCACTGTTCCCTCTCTGACAATGAGGGCTGCAAAGCTCCCAGATGTGAAACCTTGGGGCCACACTGTCCACTTGGGAAGCACAGAAGTATTCTTAACCCTCACAGGTTTCATACCAGACACCGCCCTTCCCTACCCCTAACCAACCACTACCCTTGATCCTCAAGCCCCTTGTGCCTGCACCTGGATGAACTCGGTTCCTGGTGGCAGTTCCCACTGAGGTCTGCGGAGGTCCAGCAGGATGACAGAAGTGCCGCCCTTGGCCAGAGTGGATCCCAGGCTGAAGCCCAGGTAGCCTCCTCCTCCTGTCACCAGAACTTTCTGCTTAGGAGCCAGGACAGTTCTGACTTGAGTCTTCTGCTGTGACGGTGGTGTTGGGGCTGTCGGCAACTCACTGGGTTGGAGCCCAGTCCCAGAGCCCCGTCTGGGCCCTGGGCTAGGTAGTGACCCAGCTCCTAGCCCAGATGCTGACCAAGCCCTTGGCTCTGGCCTCAGACCTGGTCCAGGTCCTGGTCCCCCCCTGGGGGCTGATGCAGGCTCTGAAATGGCACCATGCTGTGATCCAGGCACTGCCACAGCACCAGATCCTGCCACAGGGCCTGGAATAGGGTGAGGGCTCAGTGCAGGTTCTGGAACCACACCAGATCCCAGCCTGGGCTCTAAGACAGCGACACCAGGGCCTGTCCCTGAGGCAAAACCAGACCCTGGACTTGGGATGCCTCCCCAGGCCTGGCACACAGGGCAGCTCTTCTCGCCCTGGCCTGTGGCTTTGCAGGCCTCTGGGAAGGCAGGTGCGGTGTTGGTCTTCATCTTCTATCAGGCCATGCAGACCCGGAAGCTGTGCAGCTGTGGGAGAAAATAGAACATCCTAGAATTCTCTCAAGTTATAAGGGTTATCAGACTCTGAATACTAAGGGGGAAAAGCTCAGGTAGAAATTAGAGACCTTGTGAGTTTTGGGTGAACCTGTCCCTTTCAGAATTTCAGGAACTTTCAGGGACAGATGGGGTTCAGCCCAATGGTTAAGTCACTGCTGGAGACCTCTGCATCCCACATGACAGTGCATGGGTTTGAGTCCTGCTCCTACTCTTGATTCCAGTTTCCTGTCATGTACACCCTGGGAGGCAGCAAGTAATGCTCAAGGTGTTAGGTCCCTACCACCCACATGAGAGACCCAGAATAGCCCCCTGGTTGCTGGCTTTGGCCTAACTCTATTCCAGTGATTGTGGCCATTTGGGGAATGAACCAGTGAATGGAAATCCCATCGGTCTCTCCCTCTTGAATGAATGGATGAATAAATAAAGAAAGGAAGAGCTTTCAGGGTGGGTGCTCCTCCCATAGAAAGAGAGACTGGGAAGCTGAGCTTTGGGAAACTGAGACCCAAAGTCCTGCTGTGTGACAGACTTGGGCCACATGCTCCCGACTCCCCTTAAAATCCCAGTTGTGTTTTTGTCCCAGAGGAGGATGCATCAAATCATGCCCAGCGTGTGTCTGACAAGGTGGAGGGGATCAGAGGGCTCTCTAGGAATGAGAGCGAGGATGATGAAGGGTGAGGGAGAGGGATCTGTTTGGGATGCCGATCCACTGGAAGCCTGTCCACAATCCAACCACTGTCCTCCCCCTGTTACTGTCTGACTCAGCAGGTGCTTGCTGAGTGATTCACTCCTAGTGGTGGGTTTCTGACCTCTTTTAGTCTCCTTGGCCATAGTCCTGCTTGCCAAGGTTCTGCGTGATGGAGACGGTTATGCCTGGTACAAACTCTAGCCCTCGGGGACTCAACTAGGGGAGTGGGATACCTCAAATCAGAGCCTTTACAGAGAATGGAGTGAGGGTACAGCCCGTGAGGAGTGCCCTTTGACCCTGGCTCTGATGACCCTGTCGTGGGGAAGGGTCTGTGGTCCAGAGCTATCCCAGGAGATGTTTTTTGTAGCATGGGCTTGGGACTGGCCTTGGGTGTGTCTCTGGAAGACCTTTAAAGCCTCCTGTCCCTGCATGGGCACAGCTGTAATAAGAACCCAGATAAACCCTGGCCCTGTCATGCACTCCTTCCCCCCCACCCCATCCCCCCAGATGCCACAGCATTTGACTAATCAGCTACGGGAAGATTAAAACCAAGGGGACAGAGAGACAGCCAGAACCCTGGAGTGCCACCGCCCCATTAATCCTCCAGGGCGGGCTGGGGAAGCAGAGGCTACTGAGGCCCAAACGGAGGCCCAGAGACCGGGACTCACAGGAAACACCTCGGCTCGAGTTCAGGTCAGCGGGGGGCTCCTCCGCAGTGGCGTTTGGTGTCAAGGACAAGCGGTGTCACGGACCGACCCCCGAGGAGCGTCAGCCTAAGACGGAAGGAGCATGTGCCCTTCACCCAGCAGTCCCGGGCCGGAGCCTTCTCCCCTCTTGTCCCACCCCACCCCCGTTTCGGCTCTCCTACCCTGTCTCACCTTCACCTGCATCCCCAGCCCGGCTCACCTGGCCCTGGCTCCCGCGGCGCTGAGTGCTCGTCCGTCTTGGGAGTGAGCCTGGCGCCTCCAGGACCACCGCCTCCTGGGGGCGGGACTGGGGGCGGGACTAGGGGCGGGGCTGGACACCGAAACTGCCCCACGCCCGCTCCAAGCACCTGCTCGTCTTGCCTGCTTTACTCCTAGTTGCAATATTGAAAGGCAAAGGACCCGTAGGACCTTGCTGGCGTGAAACGGGCCGCGTTTTCCATGGGGAACGAATGCTGAGGCCATGCGTGCCGGGCCCCTTCCTAAAACGTCAAGAAACTGCTCCCTCGCTGCACATTCACCGTCAGCCTACCTCCTCCCATCCTCCGCTTTTTTTTCCCTCCTTCCTCTCGTCTGTCCATCCTTCTGTGGGTTCTTCCATTCACCCTTTTCCCAGAGCAACCATTCTTCCATTTATTATTTTACTAAATCTTTTGGCCATTCATCCACCAGTCCATTCATCTGTCCTTCCACCCATCTTTGCATATATCTGTTCAAATGTCCACTCATTTATCGACTGTATTTTCAAAAAAGATTTCTATTTATTTCTATTGGAAAGTCATATATACAGAGAGAAAGGTCTTTCATCCATTGCTTCACTCCCCAAATGGCCACAATGGACGGAGCTGCGCTGATTCGAAGCCAGGAGTTTCCTCTGGGTCTCCCACGTGGGTGCAGGGTCCCGAGGCTTTGGGCCATCCTCTACTGCTTTCCCAGGCCACAAGCAGGGAGCTGGATGGGAAGTGGAGCAGCCGGGACATGAACCGGTACCCTTATGGGATCCCAGCACATGCATGGTAAGAATTTAGCCATTCAGCCATGGTGCCAGGCCCTCTACAGTGCTTATTTTGCTCACTTTAAAAAATTTGAGGTTATCCATTGATTTGAAGGTCTTTATATACATGATACAGTCATTTCTTGTATACACAGTGGACTGGGCCCTGACAAACCTGTTTGACTTTAACGTGCTCTCTCAAGTGTTTGCCCTGGATTGGGTTTGGCTTAGCTGAGCAGGGGTTGGGTGGAGGAGAGGCTCATTTGCTTGTGCTCTGCGATGAGGCTGAAGTTGAGCCTGCCTCTGCCAGGGGGTCGGGGGCAGAGACAAGCACAGAGGGCATGAGGGCAGGACTATCCCCCCATCTGGCTTGTTTGCTGGCCTCCCACAACTCAGCCTGAGGCTCGGGGTTTCTTGGCATCTGCCATGCTGATGGTGAGGCTGGGAACTTACACATGGCGAGGGCACCAGTATCACTGCTGGACAGCACATGGTCAAGGAAAAGATCCACAGACTGAGCAAGAAATGGAGAGGTGGCATGCCAGATACAGTGAGAATGTCAGGAGGCTGGGAGAGGAGGCTCTCGGCTCTGTCCAGAAACCCCCAGCTCCAGAAGGGCCCTGTACCATCTCCATTCTGCAGCTGATGTCATTTGAGTTGTGCCTTGATGGGTGAGCAACAGTTACCAGGCAGCAGGTGCAAGAAGGATGTTCCAGATGCAGGGCTTCCCAGTGAGTGGCAAACTCGAGGGGTCAGAGTGTAGGGCCTGCTCAGCTGGGGACAGGGAAGGTGAGTTAGGGTCCACCTGAGCATGGCTTCATGATAACAACAACCAAAGCTTTTCCTTCTTCTGTCCTGGGGCAGGAATCGGGCTTCCCGGGGACAATCCTGTTGGAGTCACAGATTGCCATGTCATCTCGCCTTCAGGGCTAAGATGTGCTCAGGGAGAGGTTCTCCATAGCTCGGCCTTTTCTGTTTATAGGAATCCTCATTTCCAACCCTTCCCTTAAGGTAGGACTTCCCCCAGAATGCAGCATGCTGCCCAGCCCTCACCAGGAACTCAGCACAGGGGGAGTCAGCCCCTTTCCCCCTACCTGAGAACACTTCTCTAACAAGCAGTGACCTTGGCTTCTGGGTTGTTTTTCTTCTGGAGTTGTGACCTGTTGGGTAGATGAGGAATATTTCTGGGATTGTTGGGTAGGAGTGGGACAGGTGCTCTCAGCCTCTGGTCTGGCTGTGCCAGAGTCACAGGGCAGGGTGGGCAGGCGGCTAGGAGGGCGAACCTGAAGGACTGGGCCTGCCGGAGGAAGCTTCTGGCCTTGGTGATCTCCTGGGCCAACCTTCTCAAATCATCTCCTTCAAAGAGTGGCAATGGGGGATCCTTGAAAACAGGAAATCAGCATGAAGTTCTATCCCTTTGAACATCATTGGAGGGGACTTGAAAAAGAATCCCCAAAATATTACAGGTGGAGAATATCAAAGCTAATTCAATGTGGCCTCTCACCCAGGCCAAGAAATTCCGGGGGAAGCCCACTACCGATTTGGGCAGTTGTTCTGTAAATGGAACACTTTGAAATATTTGGCAGCGTATGAAGGAGACTGGCAAAACCAAGATGGTCTTTGAACTTTAATGAACCTGGCACCTGTCTAGGCCCAGTAAGCAGGTGCTGGGCAGGTGTTTGGCACAGGTGTTAATCCGCACCTTGGGGTGCCTGCATCCCATACCATAGTGCCTGGTTATCATCCTGGCTCCACTTCCCATCCAGCTTCCTGGGAAGGCAGCAGATGATGGCTCAAATACTTGGGTAATCTGAGTCCAGGGGCCACTCATATGGGAGACCTGGATGGAATTCCTGGCTGCTGACTTTGGCCTGGCCCAATCCTGTCTGTTGTAGGCTTTTGGGAAGTGAGTCAACCGATGAAATATTGCTCTTTGTCTCTCTCAAATAAAATTATAGGGAAAAAACCTACAGAAGTATATATATATGTTCTCTGTGTGTGTGTGTGTGTGTGTGTGTGTGTGTGTGTGTGTGTGTACTACTATTCAGTAAAAGCTCTAGATTTGGGGCTAAGCATTGTGGCACAGTAGGCTAAGCTTCTATCTATGGTGCTGACATCCCATATGGATGTTGGTTTGAGTCCCAGCTGTTCCACTTCCAATCCAGCTCCCTACTTGTGGCCTGGAAAAGCAGCAGAGGGTGGCTCAAGTCCTTGGGCTCCCACAGCCATGTGGGAAACCTGGAAGAGTCTCTAGGCTCCTGGTTTCAGCTCAGTTCACCTCTGGTCACTGCTGCCATTTGGGGAGTGAACCAGTGAATGGAAGATATCTCTGTCTGTCTCTCATTTTCTTTATAATTCTACCTCTCAAATGAAAATTAAATAAGTCTTATAAAAGAAAACCTCTTAATTTCTTTCTTCATTTGTTCCAGTAGAATTGAGACTCATGGATACACTTATGTCTTAGGTAAACAAGCAACATTCCAGAGCCTAGCTTGAACGCATGAATTCACATTAAAGGGATGAGGCTGGAGGCTGCTCTGCGCCTTGAAAGTAGGGGGAGCCCATTCTAAGTGCAGAAACCCATCCAAAAATCTGAGAGGATAAGATGTCAAACGAGCCCTTTCCTGATGCCAAGGTTTGCTGCATCACAAAGGCACTTGGGTGAATTATTTAGTACCTTTACTAACACGTTTGGTTGTCTTTGTTATATGTGCAATATTGTCCCTGAGGGTCACTTGAACAACACAGGGATGTAGGGCCACGCAGGCGTCCACATTGATGCCATACACTTGGAAATGAACCTTTATCCTCTGAAAAGACAAGCGGGCTTCTGCTTCGTTGTCTGACTTGATAAATCAATGCTATCATTGGCAGTGCTGCCTACACAGGTAACAACCTGTGCATAATTTTTCTATCATGTTGGGGAAGGACCACCAGAACCTATGACTTGACTAGATTAATTATGTGACAGACAGCTTATGGCTACTGGGTGCCCTGCTTAGCAGACAGCTTGAATGTCTGTCTCAGTGAATGGAAGGCAGGAAGGCGACAATATACAGGAAGTAAACCACTACAGCGAAGGCTGTTGTGGGCCCTGGCTTTACCACATTCCCATGTTCTCTGAGCAGGTATATTCCAGAACCTCATTGAGCCTATTTGTATATAACATCTCTCCCATTCTGTTGCTCCCCCTCTCTCTGTTACTCTACCTTTCAAATATTTAAAATAAGTACATGTTTCAAAAAATAATTATCAGAGAGGGCCCAGTGCAGTAGCCTAGCAGCTAAAGTCCTCGCCTTGAATGTGCCGGGATCTCATATGGGCGCTGGTTCTAATCCCAGTGGCTCCGCTTCCCATCCAGCCCCCTGCTTGTGACCTGGGAAAGCAGTGGAGGATGGCCCAAAGCCTTGTAACCCTGAATCCGCATGGGAGACCTGGAAGAGGCTCCTGCCTCCTGGCTTCGGATCAGTGCAGCTCCAGCCATTGTGGCCGCTCAGGGAGTGAATCAACAGATGGGAGATCTTCCTCTCTGTTTCACCTCTTCTCTATATATCTGACTTTCCAATAAAAAAAAAAAGTAAATCTTTAAAAAAAGGAATTGTCAGAGGATTCAGACACTGTACATAAAACAACACGTTTTCACATGGATGTAAACTGGTCCATTATTGTTAACTGACATCTCAGATCCTTCTTCTGTCCCAGCTTAGCAGAGTCACAGGCAAATGTTGCTCCTTGTCGTGGGCACTTGGTCTCTCAGGAGATGCAGAGAGCCTCTCAGTTGGAAGGAGAACCCTTCCCCCTCGCCCCCCAAGCACCTCCCAGAGCTGTTCCGCAGGGCCCACACACAGCAGCCTTGTGGCCTACCTGATCCTCGATGAAGCCTTTGATGAGCGGGCCTTGCATTGCCTTCAGCGTGTCTTCTCCGACCGGGCAGTGGTAGCGCCCGCCAGTGAAGGCCGCCATTTTTCTGAGGAACTCCACGGCCGCTCTAGGGTGAAGGGACAGAGAGCCTGGGGGAGGTCTCCTAGGCCCCCTTAGCCCCTGAGGAATGCTAGTCTATGGGCGTAAGAGAAATCGCCATGGCCATTGGCTGTGGCTTGCGCCACTGAGACTGTTGTCACTACCACCAAGTCCACTTTTGTGATGACTTCACAGGCCATGGCTGCTTACCTTGAGGTAAGAGTCACGGATTTATCCTAGATGCCCACTCAAGACCCACATCTGCCCACCACTTTTCTAGACCTCTGTCCAATGCCAACCGTGTGTTAGAGCTGTAAGAGACAACAGGATGACCTTACCCAGTTCATGGCTGAGATGAGGAAATAAAATGTGTGCCTAGGGCATCAGGCTTTCCCTGAGTAGGCAGTGGAGTCTCGCTCGTCTGACGTTCGCCCTTGGATCAGGATAGTTTACAGAAGTAGCCATGATGATACTTTCAGCCCTGAGCGTGCTCTCCATTTACTGGTCACAAATGTGTTCCCAAGAGTCACCAGAAGCAAGATTAGAAGGTGACTGTGAGAGTCAGCACCAACACTGCTCCAGGCCGCAAAGTCAGAGGAGCATCCCATCTGGGATTAAGTTCAAGGTGCAAAGAAGGACTTTTTACTTGGTGGGGTCACACCTGCCTGGGCCTTGCAGGCAGTCTATCTCTTAATTCTCAACCCACAAGACTAGGGCCCAGGGCAGGGCAGTGGGTAGGGGTTCACTGTCTATGTGAGTCCCTCGGTGGGGCAAGCAGCCTAGGCCTGCCCTCAGCCCTGTGGTCACAGGGAAAGAACTGCATTCAGTCCTGACTCCTTCTTGCTCACCGGTCCGTGCAGTTCAAGGACACGGTGTGCACTCTCACGTCCCTTTCTTCTCTGAGCCTTTGGACCGCACTGAGGACGAGGCTGCGGCTGGTGTCCGGCTTCCCATCGGTCAGGAGGTACAGTCCTTGCACACCATGGAAACTGAAGGCTTTCTGAAAGAGTATGGGAAGCTTGTCACGAGGGGTCTCACAGAGATGAGCAGATGCCAACTCCCTGAGCAGGTGGTCCCTGCTGTCCCCCAAGCAACATGCATCTGATGGGATGCCCCTAAACTGTGGTCTACTTCCTAGCTGGTTAGCCCCAAGCAAGTGGCTTAATCTCTGTGTGTCTTCATCTATAAAAGGAGAGCATTCAAAATTTCTTTCTCATTGGGTCATTGGGAAGAACAAATGAAGTATCAATCTGTAGGTCCTATACTCTGTGCAATTCGGGTACAGGGCATGCCGGCTATAGGATCAGTTCAGTGGGGGCACTTGCCAGTAATGCTTGCAAGACTGAGGTACTCCCCTGAGCTTGTAGTTGGGTCACCCACTGCATGGCCTTGTGACACATGGCATCTGTGGTATCCACCAGGCTGTCCTGCCATGACTGAAGACCCTCTGCAAAGCTGAGCAGGTTAAAACTGGGGAGAAAGGGACAGGGGAGATGGGACTGGTTAGAACAGATCAGTTCAGCAGAGCTGCGGATGAAGCGCAAGTTAAAATGCTGCTTGCGATGATGCCAGCATCCAAGACTGGAGTGCTGTTTTGAGTCCTGGCTGCTCTGCTTCTAATCTATCTCCCTGCTAATGTGCCCGGGAAATGGCCCAACTATTGGGATGGAGTTCCTGGCTTCTGGCTTTGCCCTGGCCCAGCCCTGGCTGTTAGCATTTGGGGAGTGAATTAGAGAACAAAAAATCTCTCCTTTTTCTCTGTCACTACACCTTTCAAATGTATACATACACTTAAAAAAAAAAAAAAGGCTACACATTGGTGATTGTAGGTGAAGATGAAAACAATTTAAATCCCAGCTCAGACATGGCTTAGGTTATGTGACCTTAAGCAAATTACTTACACTAAATTCTAGTTGCTTTTTAAAAATAAATTCTCCCTCCTCATTTAAAAAAAGTAATTTATTTATTTATTTGAAATGCACAGCGAGAGAGAGGGAGAGAGAGAGGGAGAGAGAGAGAGAAAGAATTTCCCATCTACTGGTTCACTCCCAAATGGCTCCCATTGCTGGAGCTGGGCAAGTCTCATGCCAGGAGCCAGGATGAAAATAAAATAAAATAAATCCTTGCTTTCTTTTTCTTTCTTTCTTTCTTTCTTTCTTTCTTTCTTTCTTTCTTTCTTTCTTTCTTTCTTTCTTTCTTTCTTTCTTTCTCTTTCTTTCTTTCTTTCTTCCTTCCTTCCTTTCTTTCTTTCTTTCTTTCTTTCTTTCTTTCTTTCTTTCTTTCTTTCTTTTCTTTCTTTCCTTTCTTTTCTATTTTTCTCTCTTTCCTTTTCTTTCTTTCTTTCTTTCTTTTAAGGATTTATTTTATTTTCATTGGAAAGTCAGATATATAGAGAGGAGGAGACACAGAGAGGAAAATCTTCGTGCTGGAACTGAGCTGATCTGAATCCAGCAGCCAGGAACTTCCTCTAGGTCTCCCATGCGGGTGCAGGTTCCCAAAGCTTTGGGCCATCCCTGACTGCTTTCCCAGGCCACAAGGAGGGAGCTGGATGGGAAGCGGGGCTGCTGGAATTAGAACCAGTGCCTATATGGTATCCTGGTGCATGCAAGGCGAGGGCTTTAGCTGCTAGGCTACTGCACCAGGTCCAGGAGTTTCTTTTGGATCTCCTATGTGGGAGCAGGGGTCCAAGGACTTCAGTCACCTTCCACTGCTTTCCCAGGCCATTAGCAGGGAGCTGGATTAGAAGTGGAGCAGCTGGGACTTGAACCTTTACCTGTATGGAATGTCATTGCTGCAGGTGGCAGCTTGACTCACTCTGCCACAGCAGTAGTCTTGCTAGTTTCCTTTTCTGTAAAATGATAATAATAAATGCAATTCCTCACGGGGTCATTGTGAGGACTGAAAAAAATCATGCATGTAGAAGTCTTGGCACTTAGGGAGTGCTCTGTAAATGCTTACACATTAAGGCAAGAATGAATCCTAGTCTAGGACTGGGGTCTCTTGCAGTCCTAGTAGGCAGACAGAACAAACAACCCAGCCACCCACCCAGCTTTAAAAAATCAAATTCAACTGCAGGCCGCAGTTCAGGGCCACACGGTGATTCCTTCATCTTGTTTACAATTGTCTCTGGGCCTGAGGCGCATGGTTAGGAACCACCACCTGTTTGTAGCCGAGCAGAATGTGGTGTGCTTTCTTGCTTGCACAGGATGTTCAGAAAAGCAACCCAGGCAGCTCCAGCTCTGGCAAACACGAGGAGGGAGGGAAGGCTTGGGAAGCCCCCCAGGAATGGCCCCTTTCCTCCCACAGCCCTGCTGCCCACCTGTCACACTGCTTCCGCAGCTGCTCCCAAATCAGCAGAATCAGCTCTGTCTTCACCTGCTGCAGGTGTGGGCCCATGGACCCCGAGGTGTCCAGCAGAATGCACACTTTGCTCTCCAGGATGGCACCGAACAGTCGGCGGCTCCCTGCTCCGGACGGGCGGGGACAGGAGAGGAGTGAGCAGGATGTCTCCTCCTGGGTGACTTCTTTCACTGTATCTCTCAAATGCAAAGTCTTGCAATGCCTGCGGCCAACCTGCCCACTGTTACACGGTAGGTCAGTACCTCAAAGTCGAGCCACTCAGTGGTCTGGGCTTTGGGAGATTAAGGTTTATCTCTGGTTTCCTGTGCTGACTTGCACATGTTCTACAACCTTTCAGGGCTTGAGTTTCCTCAGCTTTGCAGGTAAATGATTGGGTTTAATAGTGTACCAGAATTTGGGGTGGCTGGGAAGATGTCAGACAGCACTCTGGTGAACAGAAATCAGCTGAGCATGCGCTGAGTGAATAAGTGAGGGTCCCTGTCCTGGTGTAGCTCAATGTCAGGCAAGGAAGATGGGTGCTAGTGAATGGTGACAACTCTGTTGAAGCTTGTGACAGCAGAATGCTACAGAAGCACATAATGGGGAGAACTGAAACTCTTTGGGGGTTCTGTGGTTCATTTTCCGTCTCCCTGCCATGCACTAGGCCCTCTTCCCTCTTGCCACAGTGACCGTATCAGCTGTATCTGTGAGTCTCTTTAGTAAACATCCACTTCCTCCTAGATGCTGTGTCACGAGTTCAGAGGCCACCTCAGGTTTGGTCTTCTGCCCTCTCCTGCAGCACCTCATATCCTTTCTATTGAATCACAAATGAGTGAGTGACTGAAGTCTCCTGGGTACACTGGAGATGACTGATGGCTTTTGGGGATGATAGACAGGAGACTCATCCTACAAAAGTAGGTGACTGAGAAGGGTGAACTGGGAATGGGGACAGCTTGACATCTCTTTGCCCCACCTCAGCCTCTGGCTGGACTGCACCTGCAGCCTGCTGCCTGTCCAGAGGCTTTGGGAAGCAACGGTTGCTGCTGCACTGTAACGCCCAAGGGCTGTTTGTCACAGACTCTGCTGCAGAAGCTGGAACATGGTGAATTTGCACAGGGCCCCTAGGGGTACATATGAGGCCATTCCTTCCTCCAATCTTCCTCCTATATCAGGAGACTGCCATGCCCTAAGCCTAAATCCCCTCCCATTAGTTTCTGAGTTTCCGCTGGCCTCCTGGACTTGATGCTGCAGACCATCTCTCAGTCCCCAGCCCATCTTCCTCTGGGACACGGGCCTGGCTCTCCCCAGCCAGCTCTACCCACTCACTGAGGAGAGGACTTCTTCATCACCATGGCCCAGTGTGAGGGGGACTTTGTCAGTGTTGAAGAGCGCCTCCTGGGAGTGACTCCTCTGTTGCTCATGGGATAGCTTTGCAGAGCTGTCTGTGACTCTGGGGCAGCTAGGCGCAGGCTCCACCTCTCTGTCATCCAGCACCTCACTTGACCTCAGAAGTCACTCGGGACCTGGGTGCCACCTGACCTGACACTTTGTGAGGGTCTGGCCTTGAAAGGACTAGCCCTGGAGTTCCTTTGTGCCCCCTCTCCACCCTCCAGGGCAGCAGGCAGGCTCACCAGACAGCAGCCACTGCAGCCTCTGCACGTAGCGCCTCATCAGCTTTTCCAGGCATGAGATGTATTCCTCCATTTCCCTGAGCGTCCACTGGATGTGTCTCACCACCCCCTGGAAGGATGCAAACGGAGGCACCCCTTCAGTTAGTGATTTCTCTGAATCCCATCACCCCAAGGCAGTTGATCCACTGGGGCTAACAATTCCTCAAGCATCTGTAAAGCTTTGCTCATTTAAGAGCTTGTTTTAATCAAACTACTAGACTTATGGTTCTATGAAGGAGCAGGAGAATAAGGATGATGGTTTTGTGACAAGTGCAGTTACTGCAGTAACAGCAATAGCAGCAAAAGCCCTACATAATATCTTAAAAAATGTTTTAAGAGTTTTTTAAAAAATTTTAAAAGCAGAGTTAGAGAGAGAAAATAGATCTTCCATTGCCAGTTCATTCCCCAAATGGTTACAATAGCCAGGGTTGGGCCAGGCTAAAGCCAGGAGTATGTTCTGGGTCTACACATGAGTCCAGGGGTCCAAGCACTTGGGCCATTCTCCGCTGCTTTCCCAGGTACACTAACAGGAACTGCATCGTAAGTGGAGTAACTGGGAATTGAATCAGTGCCCATACTGGGACTGCAGTTGAAGCCTTAATCCCATGCCACAATGCTGGTCCCAATACCTCTAAAATTTAAGAACAGAACACCATTACTGGTTAGATGAGAAATCTATAAATTCCAAACTGAAAGATGACCTTGGACGGAAGTGGTACAGCAGGGTAAATGACCCTACATTCTTTCTCAGAAATAATTTTGTATTTTGAGGCTATTTTTAAGTTTTCTCTGACATAGATGACGTAGTTGCAAAAAGGGCAAGGAGGGCTCAAAATGATTCGATTTTCATTTTGTGCTAAATTTGCATGTTCCAGTGCTGAAAATGAAAGATCATGAACTCAAGAGTCAGCCAACAGAGAACCTCTCTCCTGCCTCTTCTGCTGTGATTCCCATTTGCTGCCCTCCTGACAGAACCACCACTGGGGCTGTGGCTTGGAGCTCCCAGCACAGACAGCCGCTGCTGCCCTGGGTTCTCAGGAGTGGTCCTGACCTTGCAGAAGAAGGATCTCAAGCCCTCTGAGGACTTGACTTTCTCTCCAACAGGACACCAAAGGTTGCCCCATTGTGGGGGTGGGGTTCTCAAAAGCAGGAAGAAAAGTCGTGGGGCCACCCACTGCTCTCCGCTGGTTGCAGCTGAGAAGGGAGTTGGAGACAAAAGCAATAAAAATTGTGCATGTGTGGTGGGGAGGGGGAGGTAGGTGTTTGACCCAGTGTTTAAAATGCTATTGGGGTCACCTGCATCCCTATCAGAGAGCGTGACTAAGCACTGAGTGACAGTCCTCCACTGCTGACCCAGCTTCCTGCTGGTGCACACAGCAGGCAACAGTTCAAGTACTTGGGTCCCTGTCATCCTGGTGAGAGATCTGACCCAGCTCTTGTTGTGGACACTGGGAGAACGCATTGCAGACAGGAGAGCAGCGTCTCTCTACCTTTCAAGTTACATGGAAAGAAAAGTTTAAAAAGTTTGAAATCCTGACTTACTTTGATTTCCACGCTGGGGAAGATGTGGCAGCTGCAGTATTTGGTTGAGGCCGACCCCCGTGCTGACTTTTGATGAGCACAGTTGGGACCGATGTGTCTGGAGATTTCCATCTTCAGTTTTTTCAGTCCATAGTTTGCTACCCACTTTAGAACAAAGGAAAGAACTTTTATCTTAGGTAACTTGGGTTTAATTGAATGATTCTCTGACTCATCTAGTAAAGTCTCCTATTGGATATGTGGGTTTTCTAGGCCCTCATGGAGCATGCGTTCCTTCCCCTAGAGTAGAAGAGGAATGCATAATGGATACAGGGACCAACATTTGGAGAGGCCCTCCTAGTCCTTTTTCTAGTAGACACTGTTGCTTCTTCAATATCCACTTCAAACTGTCCCAGGGAATTCCCGTGGAAATTCCTCACTGGTCTAAAGGTCAAACATTAGGAAGAAAGATGCATCTTTCAGATGTAAACAATAGGGAGGGGTACTTGTTGCAACCAAAAAGCTCGAACACCCTCTAAATATTGTATGCAAAATATGTTCCAATTAATCTTCATATCTTCATTTTACAAATAAGAATATTGAGATTGAATACAAATAAGTGATTTGGCTGGGATTTGGCAGCTACAAATTCTGAATTTTGGTTTTCTTAACTCTCATCCCACTGGCCATATACGCATTCTTATCAGTTTTGTGCTCATTTTTCCAAGTATACCCACTCAGTGGGAAGTAATGATTGCCAGAAGAAATCATTTCCTAGGGCACATGTGGACAATTTAGTACCTCTTGGCTTGAACACACCACATCCTTTCTGGGCAACTCCACTGAAGCAGTGTTAATCCTTCTCAGATTCTTAGCTAGAGGGTACTTTCTGTACACTGAGCCTAGGAGAAACACATCAAAGTCAATGCAAGCTCCCTTCTTCCCTGCCACCATGCCACGTTTCAGGTCATTTTCTCCGCCAATCAAAATATCAATTGTGAAGTCCCTTAAGTGCAGATTGCTGAGAGAAAAGGAGACTGCCAGGTGGATGAGGAGAAGGCCTGGTCTGGGCTGCCCTCTTCCACGGGGCAACACACTGTTGCTGGGATTTGTCCCAGTTCACAGCCATCAATCAACCTGGCCTAGAGGACCCCTACCTGCATTCTGAAGAGCCTCAGGATGAAGGAAATGGCCCCTTGCAGACAGAACCCCAGGGCCCACAGACCTAATGGGTTTCTTGAACATCAAGACTTGGCATGCACAGTTCCCTGGCTGCTAAGGCAGGTTTATTTCTAAAGCACTGCTGGAACCGCATGTCTTGAGCCAGTTAGTAGGGGATGCCTGATGTGGGCCTGATGCCCTTTCAGTTCCTACTGGGCGAGACGGCCGTCCTAACACTGTGTAGCCCCAACTTACCGACATTATTCCCTGTTTCTGTATAGAAGAGTGAAACAGCGGTCTCTGCACCCATTGCTTTGGTTTTCCTTCGCCATTTGGTTGTCCTTTCTTTCACTGGCTGGGCTGCAGTAAGAAAACATGTGGCTGACTTATTAAATGGAGTAGCCTTTTGGATTCCTGAGATACATCTGTCCAGCCTGCCTTACCAATGTCTCAATTTCAGCTATGATTCACCCTGTGGAAATAGATGGCGTGGAGGTACCTCTTGCCCACACCTCTGGTCCCCAGGCCTCACTTGGGTCCTGATGGGGCATGTGTGAAAGCTCCTGCCCTCAGGTTACAGAGGTAGAGAAATGCAGAGCAATGATTCCACTCTGGTCTGGATGACCTTAGAACTCTACTCTGAGCCCACTTTACTGTCTTTGATGTGAGAAACAAAACCTGCAGTTTTAGGGTTAGCTGAGGAATGCTCTGACATAACTGTTTGGCATGCTACCCATAGCTCCCCTAGGGTTCCTTTGCCAGTAAAATGGGAAGCTAAAAAAAGTGCCTACTACGTGAGGTTGACTGTTACAGACCTCATGAGAAAACGGATTTAAAGTGAAGCTCAGTCAGGGTGAGCACTCGGTGCAGCAGTTAAGACAGCTGCACTCCATGTTGGAGTACTTGGGTTTGAGGCCTGGCTCTGCTCCTCATGCCAGCTTCTTGCTAACGTGTGCAAGGCAGTTACAGTGATGGCTTAAGTAGTTGGATTCCTGTTGCCAGTGTAGGAGGTTTGGACTGAGTTCCTGGCTCCTGGGTTTAGCCTGGCCCACCCTTGACCATGAAAGTGAGCCAGCAGATGGGTGATGGTTCTCTGTGTGTTTCTGCCTCTTAAATAAAGAGAAAGGTAATCTGGGTCTGGTGCAGTAGCCTAGTGGCTAAAGTCCTCTCCTTGCATGCACACGGATCCCATAAAGGTGCCGGTTCATATACCGGCTGTTCCACTTGCAGGCATCCTATCCAGTGTCTTACCCTTGAAGCCAAATGTCCACGTCAAGATTACCTTTCTCTTTATTTATTGGACCCTGCTTCTTATGCTTGCATCAGTGAACAGCTTGAGCCAGTGGCATCTTTTTCTATATATACTTATTTTTATTGGAAAGACAGATATACAAAGAGAAGGAGTCTCCCCCGCGGGTGCAGGGTCCCAAGGTTTTGGGCCATCCTTGACTGCTTTCCCAGGCCACAGGCAGGGAGCTGGATGGTAAGCGGGGTCTCTGGTGTTCGAAGCAGTGCCCTTATGAGATCCTATACAAGGTAAGGACTTTAGCAGGCAGGCTACTGTGCCTGGCCCAGGGTATGCATTTTCTATGAACTTTTTATGAACTCTTGTAAATGGGATGATCTGAGAAAACAGGCTGCCAGACAATGGACCATTTTAGTCACCATCATCCACTTAGGTCTCAGCTGCGCCCGTGCCATCCTTGCACCGCCACCACCCCTTCCTGCCAACCACAGCTATACTTCTTACCTGGGGAAATGCTCACACTGTTACTGTGTGGATGCCATTTCAGAGCTCTCACCGAGGGACTCTTCTCTTTGTCAGGACCATCCTGCATGTTCTAGAAAATAGCCCATCTTTCTCATCAGAGGTCTGTTCTCTCAGCAGGGGCAGTACCTCAGTCAGCCCAATCTAAATGTGCCCATCAGGAACACTCTCGGTGGGGAAGAGAATCCTACTCCACTTACCCCCCACCCTTCCCTTCCCCACCGGATATGCTTGGCCCATCTTTGGCAGCAGACTTAGAAGGGATTCTGGATTTTGAGGAGAAAAAGCATGGATAAATACCTGTGCATGCTTGTGTGGTACATGTGCGTGTAGTGTGCAAGAATGCATGCAAAAGAAAGTGCTACAATGGTTGCAGGGATTTGCTCAAACTTTCTCCATCCCTTAGCCTGCCCCTCGTTCTATTAGACTGGGATTTCTGGGCCTCCAGGGTGACAAGTAATCACTCAAGGTAATTTCTGTGCCCCACTGGGTGCCTAAGTTTTAAGGCAGGAGCATGGTAAGAGATAAAATCAACATGGTCCCTGTGCCAGCTGGGGACACCCCTAGGTGAGCTGTTGTGAAACAGGCCTGGAGTCTGCTGCCCCAGGGTGCCTGCAGCTGTCCCAGGACATTCTGTTTAGAGGCCACTGTGCAGCAGAGGAAGCTTCACACCAAATCAGCAGAGGAACCCCTGAGGCCCAAGAGGCAGATCCTGGGATTCCACAGTTTGTCTCTCAGAACATGGGAGGGTGACAGAAACTGACATGCCTGGGTCAGCTTCCATCACCTGGCAGAATCTCTAAACAAAAGCAGTGCTGGGGCACTGGCATTGTAGCATGGTGGGTAAAGCTACTGCCTGCAGTGCTGTCATCACATTATGGGCACCAGTTTGACTTCTGGCTACTCCACTTTAAACCCAACTTTGTGTTAATGTGCCTGGGAGGGAAAAGAAGGGTGGCCTCAGTACTGGGTTTCCTGTATCGATGCAGAAGACCCGAAAGAGGCCCCTAGCTCCAGCTTTCTGGCTCAACTGAGGCTGTTGTGGCCATTTGAAGAATAGACTGATGGATGGAAGATCTCTCTCTCTTTCTGATTCTGCCTTTCAACTAACTAACTCAATCTGAGAGCGAGCGAGAAAGCAGTTCCCATGTGCACAGAATCCCTTAAATGTGGTCCTGAGTGCAAATGGTGAGCACTCTGTGATGAGCTACTTATTCTGAATGGGGACTGGGTTCTCGGCTCTCTTGGTGAGTTTATTGCTGACGAACTCACAGGGTCCCTCGCCTCGCTGCTCATGAGCACTGCTGGGACATGGCAGAGTGATTCCCTCTAGGGACCTCTTTTGAGTGCCCCTGTAGGGCTATTCCTTCAAGTGAGGTAGATTTGCCAGCTCGTGAATAGGCATCAGTTCCCAGCAGGCACAGGCCCACCCTCAATTCCTGAGACCCCTGCTAGGTCTTGGGCCGCAGCAACAGCAAGATGAGCCATCAGACGTAACAGTGGGTGCTAGATCCACGCAGTTCTTAGTGCAGGGCAAGAAACAGAGCAGGACAAGCCAGGACAGCCACAGGCAGGATAGTAGGGAGCTAGGAAGTAGGTTGCCTAGACAAGTACCCCTCCCTCTGACTATGGCAGGAGACATTCATGAGACACTGGCCCCTGCCCTATCCCTGTAGATGCTAGGGCCTGAGGACCTAGGTCAAACCATTTAAACATCTAGGAAAGACCAAGAGACAAACTGGAGAGAGAAGCCTTTGCATGTTGTTGGGGCTGGGAGTCAAACCATTCTGGGTGCTGCAGGGGCCGTGGCCTTGGGCTGACAGCATTTCTTGGGCTGGCTTCCTTGCTTGGGTGTCTTGGGCTTCTCCTTTGGGAGGGCTGCACTTTCCAGCTCCTTTCTTGAGTGGTTCTTCAAGGAGGCCACTAAGAGGGCACACTGCAAAGGGGATTGGAAGGTTAGCTGTGCTCCTGGCCACTGAGGATAGACAGATACTACACCACAGCAGAGGGAGCCCTGGTCTCCCCTGGAACTCCCTTCTATGCCTTGCATGCAGCCTGGTGGGCTGAAGTGCTGTGGACCAATCCTATTAACATTAGTAAGTAACCTGTATGGAGGCCCTGAGGGAACTGGGCAGTAGGCCGGTTAATGGCCAGGTAAGGTGCCATTTTGTAGAAGAAGAAATCAAAGCTCTGTGCATTTGAGGTTCTTGCCCAAGGCCAGAATATGCTGTTGCGCTCGGCTCATTTTGCTACATATTTGTCAAATGCTTTAAAGATTTTACATTAAATTAAAACCCTAGAAGATACCAGTCAAGTGGAAATCAGCATCACAGAAAAAAGGGTGGATTAAGCCAGTGTTGACTGTAAACCCTTTGTGACCAAGTCCATCAGATGAGGGCATGGTGTGACCTGAGGAGATGGGATTTTCAAACGCACTGAATGGAGACCTGTCTGGGAGGAAGGGGTCCAGGGGAGCTGGAGACCCTCCATGGAGATGCAGCCCTGTCCTCCCCAAAGTGCACAATCTTGTTGGAGAGATGAGTCCTGCAGAGTATGCTAATTAACATGTGAGTCAGGCTCCATCACAGACTCCTCTCCTGCCTTAACCATGGTCCCCAATACGCTTTCTGTCCATCGCATTGTTGGACTATCCTACATGTCTGTCTCCAGTTCATACTGGTTTTTACCTGCCCACAGAACACCTTCCCTTGTTACCTCACAGTCCCTACACACTTCATCTTTGTCCTAGACCCCCTTTTGTATAGCACAGTCCCTTCACCCCCAGGATGGGCTCCTCCTATTTCCAGCAGTACCATTGTCCTCCAGAGACACTTGCAAGGACCTTGGGAATTACTGTGGATGTCTCCTCCTTCAGTCTGCACGTTTAGTCACAAGTCAGTGCATCCTTAAATAGTCTCAGGTCTATTCCCTGGTTTTGTTGCTCCTGACATGACCTGGCCTCTGTCTACCTCTCTAATCATATCTTGTGTTTCGTGGGCCATGAGTAATAGGGAGCAAGCCTTGGGAGATCTGAAAGGGCAATGGCAGACAGAGTTTGGAAGCGAGCTTAATGAGTTCCAAGTACTTGAAGGAGGCCAGAGAGTGCAGTGTGGGGACTGAAAACCAAGATCTTACAGGGAACACTCATGCTTCATCAGAAACCTTGGGATTAGGACAGCAGGCTCAAAGCTGATGTGGGATGAGCTGTGTCTCTAAAAACATAAGCTGAAGTCTGAACTTCTGTCATCTGTGACTGTGACCTAACTTAAAACAGGGTCTTTGTAGATGTAATTAACATGTAAATTGAGGTCATACTGAAGTAGAGTGCAGCCTTTATTATATATTTATTTAATCCAAGATGCAGAAAGAGATATAGACCAGCGACTTCCTCCCCAAATGCCCACAAGCATTTGAGGTTGGGCCAAGCTGCAGCCAGCTGCTGGCGATTCATGTTAGGTCTCCCACATGGGTGGCAGGGACCCAAGTATTTGAGCTGTCTCCTGCTGCCTCCCTGGATGCATATTACCAGGAATCTGGAATTGGGAGCAGAATTGGGACGGGAACCCACACACTCTGATATGGGATATGGACACCTCAACTGGCATCATAACCACTGAACCAAACTCCAGCCTCTAGTCTAATCTGACTGATGTCCTTGTGAGACAAGAGACACAGTCACATAAAGACAGAAGCAGAGATGGGAGTCCCATGGCCACAAGCTAAAGAACAAAGAACACCTGGGGTTGGTCAGTGACCAGCACTCCCTCCTGGACCAAACTTCAGTCAGGTTCCTCTGAGCCATCTTCTTGGCTTTCTGAGCCTAACTTTAGCCAAGAATCCTTCTAAGACATTGTAGTGAGACCCTCCCATCATTGGAATCCTACCAAGTTCTTCATTCCCTATCCTCGATATTTAGGTTCTTCGCTAGTTGGTAATAGGAATCTCTCTAACCTTGAAAATCATATCAGGTTCATCTTGGTGATTTTTCATCCTCAGATTATGCACACTGACTATAAATTCCAAACTATCTCTGCTGTTATTTGGAGTTTAATCCCTCTTGTCCTTTACAATAATTTTAAATAAAAATCCTCTTCACCAATTTTGACAAGCATCTAAGCAACTGAAAACAACAACACGAGCCGTCATTGAGCAAGCATGGATTTTGCTAAAGCCGTCAGAGGGAGTGTGATTTGGGCTCTGCTGGCACCTTGAATCCAGACTTCTAGCCTCGGGAAGTGTGAGAGGAGGAATGTTTCCGTGTTCAGCCATCTGGTTTGTGGTACTTCGTTATGGCAGCCCTGGGAAGGGAATACAGAAGCCAGCACAGTAACCTAGCTCACACCAAAGGCATACCTTTTGGGAATAGTTGAGAGCCTTTTCCACTTCAGATACGATGGAGTTGATGTCATCACTCTCATAAATGCCTGGGAACAAAGCACACTGTGAGCATGAGAAAGGCGTTGTGGATCCCGAGTTGTGGCCTCACCTGGATGTATTAGTGCCATGCAGGGGAGACTTGAACCCAAGGAGGTGGGGTAGGGCCTTGATGGGTTGAGCCGAACAGGTACAATGGGGCTGACCTTGGGACCCAGTATCCTGACACTCACCCACAAGAAGAGCAGATTAGGCATAAAGATGTGTGTGGTGAACACTGCAATCACATTTAGCAGGGCAGGGAGTATAACAGTTACTTTGGGATGCCTGGGTTCGACTCCTAGTTCCTCTACTTAACTACCTGTGTGCTTTGGGGCTGTTTCTCAGCTTCCTTATCTATAAAAGGGGGAGAATGGTCACCTCCCTCCTGGGTGATTGTGAAGGACAAAAATTGTAACGGATGAAGAATGCGTACAACTGTGTCTGGCACAAAATAGCTGCTTTGTGCCTATTTGCTCTTATTAGTAATGATCAACAATGTCTATGCCCAGTACTTCACATGGAAAGAAAGATCTGGGAAGCAAACATCCAGAACTGCAGCCCCAGTTGGGTCCCAGTGTGCCCACTGGCACATCATGTCTCCAGGAGTGACCTCCTCTGGGAGTCAGGCAGGCTGGAGAGCAACGTGTTCCAGCCTGTACCAGTGTGCTGTAACCATGGTTTGCTTTACATGTTTCTAAAACTCATTTACTTTTTATTTAAAAAAGAAAATCTGTGTCATTCTTGACAAGAAAAAGCCAGTATTTTCTAAGCTTTGTTAACACAATCTATCACAATCTAAAACCAAGCAGCTTTGTGCTCCATCTACATCTAGCTCGTGGGCCACCTCCCAGACACTACCCTCTGGGAGACACTAGAGAATCTTTAAGATGCCTTCAGAGTTAACATTCTAAGACACCTTTAAGGGTTTATGCTTTAAAACTTTTTATTTCTTTAAAGATTTATTTATTTTTATTGAAAAGGCAGATATACAGAGAGAAGGGGAGTCAAAGACCTTTTGTCCACTAGTTCACTCCCCAAGTGGCCCCAAGGGCCAGAGCTGAACTGATCCAAAGCCAGAAGCTTCCTCTGGGTCTCCCATGTGGGTGCAGGGTCCCAAGATTTTTATTTTTAATAAAATAAAAAAAATTGTGGTAAAATATACATAACATGAAATTTGCCATTTTGGTTAGTTTTAAATATATTAGTTCAGGGACATAAAGCATAGACACAGTATTAAGTAATTATTGCCATTGTTCATTTATACAACATGATTTTTACATTAAAAAACTTATCTTGGGGCCACCTTTGTAGCATAGGGAGTTAATCTTTCTCCTGTTGGATGCCAGCATCCCATGTGGATGCAGGTTAGAGACCTTGGTATTCCATTTCCAATCTAGCTCCCTTCTAATGTACCTGGGACAGCAGTGGAAGATGGCCTAAGTACTGCGGCCTTTGCACTCACATGGGAGACTTGTATGAAACTCCTGACTCCTGGCTTTGGTCTGGCAGAGCCCAAGCTATTGAGGCCATTTGGAGGGTGAACCAGCGATGGAAGTTCTCTGTGTTTCTGTCTCTCCTTTGTAACTCTGCCTTTCAAATATATTAAACAACAACAACAACAACAAAAACCCCACCCTTTCAATTCCATTTTGTGGTTTTTTGTTTGTTTATCTTTTGAGAGGCAGAGGGATGCCTACAATGGTCAGGACTGAGTCAGGGCTAAGCTGGGAGCCGGAAACTCAATCTAAGTCCCCACTCTAGGCAGCAGGAACTGAGCTATTTGAACTATCACTGCTGCCTCTCAGAGTCTACTATCAGCATGCTGGAGTCAGGAGACAGAGTTGGGTATCAAGCCCCATGCATTCATATGGGACACATTTGTCTCAATCAGTATCTTAACCTCTGGGTTGAATGTTCCTTCCACCCCAATTTTAGATTTTTTAAAATGTAGTTTTTAGATGCTGTCCTTCAGGAATAGATGTATTACCTAAGGGCACTATATTGGTGTTGAGACAACTGTTTATAAAGAAAATGTGGCAGGACCAGCTAACATACCTGTCTCTCCAAACCAGTGGAAGCGGCCACCAGTAGTCCGGGTAACCTCCTTATAGGCAATGGCTGTGTCGGTGCGGCTGGCATAGCAGGCCGGAGCTATGGTGTCCATGCGAGGCTCACTCACATAGAAGAGACACACGTTCAACTGGAGGTCACAGCCACTACATGCCTCTGCCATGTAGGCGCACAGTATGCACTGGGGGGGCGGGGGGGAGGAAAGGCAACAGGGACCATGGCTGTTGACATCAGCCCAGTGTAGCCTGATCATCTTTCTTGAGATGTCTGGGTCTGACTAGGGAGGGTCAGGAAGTTGGACCCAACAGCCTGGTTACACCAGGAGTGGTCAGCAGAGTGACAGCATTGGCCTCCCTTGGGGAGCTTGTTAGGGATGCAGACTCTCCGGCCCCACCTGCTGAGCTGGAGACTGAATTTTAACAACATCCCCAGCTGCCTGCCTGCCCCTTAAAGTCCGGGCTTAGAAAATCATCCCCTTCCCCCCAGAGACCCCTGAAAGGCATCCTCCTGGTGGGAGAACATGACTGGGTGGTAGTGTGCTACGGGCACCTAGGACTCAACCTACGCACCATGTCCTGGTCGGGGATGCCCCCTGTGAAGAGGTAGATGCCCTGTGATTGGTGTTTGTCCTTGTCCTTGAAGTCCACTTCAACAGCCTTCCGCAGTGCACTGAGGATATTTCTGCTGCCCCCACACTGCAGGGTCAGGGCCCACCTGGGAAGACAAGGATGTGATGCCAAGGGCAGCTACCCAGGAGTCCCAGAAAGGGGAGTGGTTTTCTCATTTCTGCTCATGGCTGTCCCAGGACAGGGACCTTCTGGGAGAAAGAGAAAACGACCCCACTGAAGGCTGTTTTCAGACCCAGCAGCACGGAAATGCGGTCCACTACCTACCGCCAGGCGCTCTGTAAATTGTCGTGGCTCACGGGAACCAGCTCAGGCCTCCAGCTTTCGATTGTGCTTCCAAACCTTAGAGGAAGCAAAGATGACCTTGTTGTTCTTAGGTAGGAGCTCTGTCCGTGCTGAGGCGCAGCCATTGCCTCTTGCTCCAGGATTTATTATCTGTAGGATGCTGGAGTCAAGAGCTGGAGCCGGGTGTTGAACCCAGGTGCTCCGATATGAGACACATCTTTATGGTGTGTCTTTATGGTGTGTTAACCACTAGGCTAAAAGCCCACCACCATCATTGGCTCATCATTGGTCATGTACAATCTCTCCCTTTCATGGCTATATCCATAATCAGGTAGCTGACTACCTGATGGTCGCCCTAAGTTCCATCACTCCTGCTCTGTGCCTCTGCTCATGTTGTTTCTCCCTGCTCCCCAGGTCCTCCTCATCCCCATGTGCTTGGCAAACGCATCCTCAGTTGTCAAGGCCTCACTAAAGGGGCACCTCCTCCATTAAGGATTCCTGAGCTTACTATATCCATACAGGAAAACTGATCCTGCCTCTGATACCTCACAGTCACATATGCTGCCTTTGATTATTTTTTAATATCTTCTTTTTGAAGATTTATTTTATTTATTTGAATGGCAGAGAAAGAGGGAGAGACAGACACAGAAAGAGATAGATAGACAGATCAATTTTCCATCTGTTGCTTCACTCCCTGGATGGCTGCAATGGCCAGAACTGAGTCAGGTAACAATCCAGAGCCTGGAACTCTATCCAAGTCTCCGTCGTGGGTGGCAGGGGCCCAGGCACTTGCACTGTCTGTTGCTCTTTTCCTAGGTACATCAGCAAGGGTCTGGATCAGGAGTGGATGGGATACTGATGCTGCAGATGATTGGGCCACAACACCGGTTTAATTTTTTACCTATTTCTAAAGAGTACATTTTGTGGTGTTTTAATAAGCCTGTCTCCTGCCACTAGAAGATAAGTTCCTACACTTGAACTTAGCCAAAAGGCCGAGAAGCAATAGGAGGTAAGTTTCTTAGGGACAGGGATTGCATGCATTCACTTCCATATGCCCAGTGCCAGCGGGCACTAACATGGCAGCTAAGTGAATAGATACATAAATGAATGAGATCTTGTCTAACGTGTTTCTCTAAGTATTTTTTTCTGCACAATTTATTAGGGAAAGATTAGGCCATCATACTCAATAACACCTAATGGTAATTGTAAGCTCACTAGTATTAGAACATGCCGTATTTGGTTTAAGGCTGTATAAAGTGTACACTGCAAGGTTGAATAGTTAAGATGGCTGATGTCCAGTTTTGGTTCCTAATTCCAGTTTCCTGCTAATATGGGCTCTGGTCAAAAAAAGGGTTATAGCTGAGTACTTGGGTCCCTGCCACCCACAATGGAATCCCTGGCTCCTGACTTTGCACTTAGCCCAATTCTGACTGTTTCAAGAATTTGGGGGATGAGCCAGCAGAAGGGAACTTTTTCTATCTTTATCTCTCCATTTTTCAAGTTAGTTTTAGGAAAACTCATACTTCAAGTGGGCTCTTTTCTTTCTGTCTTCCCCAATTATTAAAAATGGTATGCAATCTTAAAGCTACATATGTATAATTTTTAATTGTTCATTTTAATATGTTATATGTCAAAATTACCCATAGGTAACAAAGAGAAAGAAGTGGAAAAAATAGAAAAGCAAAATGGGCTCTATCATAATAACTACACTACATAAAATTTACAGATAACAGATACATATAGTAATTTAGGGAATTACATATAGTATACAAAATTTTGAATTATACAGAAAAGCTATGTATACAATTTGTGTATCACATATATACACAATTTTATACTTTCATACTTATAACTTAATTAGATTTAGAATTAGGATCTCACATCTTGGAAATATTGTAGCATGCTACAACCAAGCTGAGGACTAAGACCAGGTCCATGGCTGGGGCCCTTCATTTCGTGTTTGTCGGTTTGGGAGCCAAATGGGGCAATGAGCTGAATTACTTTCTCCTAGCTGATCAAGCTGGTATGTTCCGGGGTCACTTATCACCTTCGCCCCAATGGGACAGTCCTGTAGCCATTGAATTATTCAGTGCCCCAAACAAGATCACCCAAGCCAGATAAACTGCGGCCATCCCAGGATGCTGAATGCTCAGAACCTCTGCCATCTAGCTGCTTGCCCTCAGCCCTAAGATGGTGCCCAAACCCCACATATGACCCACCCTTCTCTCCCTCCCCACCCTGGGCCATGCCAAACATACGCAATGAGGTTGAAGAGGTCTTTGTTGGACAGCTGCTCCTCCAGCAACAGTCTCAGGGAGTGCTGGATATGAATAATGTACATGGAATTGGTCGCAGAGATATCCAGCAGTATAACCACCCTAACAAGAAACACAAGCTTGAAGAGAACCGAACCTCTCAGATACTGTTTGTTTTGTTCCATTTTACTATTTAAAGTTTTTTCCAGTGGGGTGCGGGTTGTGTGGAGTGCGTTGGATGCCAAATTCTTAGCCTGCCAAAATTTCCTCTGTGGGTGGAGGCCAACAGAGCTGAGTTGACAATAGCAGATGAGGGGATCCTGGAACCGTCTTGCGCAGCGAGTTGCGTAATGGAAGTCTCTGAATGGAGACACTTTTGAGGGGTAAAAACTGCCCGTCATGGTTTTCAGTAGCTTCTTTTAAATAACTAGCAGTTGATGTTTTTATAGGCTTTGTAGGGAACACAGGAACAAGGTGAGCAAATAAGAGAAGGAATGGGGTGTACCTGGGCCTCTCGGGAATTGCTTGCCTCTTTGTGCCTGCTCTATGCTTTGAGATTTCCAGCTTCCTTTGGCTTCCTTCTGCTTTTACTATTTCTAATCTTTTATTCCAACCTCCTCCTTCCATTCTCATTTTGAAGCAACTTATATAAACAAAATTTTAAAAATTTCATTGGACCTTTGAACTCTGCTTCTTATCAGCTGCGTAACCTTAAGCATGTTTTTTTTTTAAACCTCTCTGATTTTCAGGGTATTTAATTATAAATCACTTTAATTGGATTCTCCATTGGGTTGCTCAGATAAGTTATATGGCAGAATTTCCAAAAAGTTCACAGAAAAATAAGATTAAAAGATATGTCTATTGTGTTGGTATATATAGCCTCTTCTGGTAAGAACAATCATAATTTTCCTTTGGGAAACAAATCTCTCTGTCATTAGAGCTGGGTGGAGCTGGGCCTGCTCCGAGCAGCAGCGAAGACTCTTAACCCTGGATCACGAGAAATCACAACTGGGCACAGTGAACTCGCCCATTCCATGAGCCCTGAAAATGCTAGAAAGTAAGGCTGGAACCTTGACCCAGCGTTGTGCCATGTGCATAAAGAAGTCTGTCTGAAAATAAAACCACTAGAGAAGGAAGAACAGAACATGAGAGAGATGAAGATTGATTCTCGTTGTAAATGAACTTCTAGACCCAACCATGCCTGAAGGCAGCTATTAAACTTAGTCTAGAATTTTTAGTTATCTTAATCAGACTTTCCTGTTCTGTTTAAGCCAATTTTGCATTTAGTTTCTGTTGCTTTTTAACAAGAAGAATCCTGAGGGGCACATGATGGCATCATCGCCACGCCAACTGCCGCTGATCCCTACTCTAAGTAGTGTCCTCCAATGCTACCAGCAGGGAATCCCTGAGGACAAAGGCACTGCCTGGGTGAAGGTACCTTTTTTCACAGACGGTGCCCCAGATTCGTCTGCTGGCCAGAGACAGCCATTCAATCCGCCTCTCAAATATCCGCACGGCTCTGCTGAGCTGTTTCTGCAAAAGTAGGGGCCCGGTGAGTGACCACTCTAGGTGCGGGCCACAAGGAGGCCCGGGGAATGTGGGAGCTGATTTCTGGGAGTTATGTGCCAAGTCCCCAGGTATGAACAGCACAAACAACCCACCGCCACCCTTGAGTCACGGAGAAGTCGGCTGTAAGACTAGGCAGGGAAGAGTCAATGTATTGCAGTGTGTCCGACGGGAGAGAAGTCAGACTTATTTTTTTTTTGAAGCATTCAGACCTCTGTCTGGGTTGGCATATGGGGAAAGCTCTAGAGACACATGTAGGCAGAACATATAGTCTCTCTGAAAGCCATTCAGGGCATAGCATGATATCTCCCTGTCCTTCCACGCCCCTCCCCACACCCTGCATTCTGACTGATGGGACCCATCGCTGACCTGGTACTCATAGAGGAAGGGCGGATCCACATGAACATTCTTCACTGTCCCATCATGCCATTCGAATTGTACCATTGCCTTCTGTGCTCAGCCATGGGCCAGAGGGGGAGCCAGTGATGAGACACATATGAAGGGAAGGATTGTATGTTTGAGTACTGGGTTCTCCAGATCAGATGCTGATCACAACTGGGGTCAGGTTACTGCCCTCCCACCCCATACATGCTCACTACCAGCAGCAGTAGGAGTAGTACGAGCAGCAGCATCCAGGACTGCCTGGTTTGCAGCTGAGGTTCTTCAGAGTGTGATCCTTGGAATTACCTGTGCCTGACAGTAAGCTAGGCTGTCTTCTTTGAAGGCTCTTTTGAACATCAGACACACTGAGATATGGTTGCAGGGCTTTGGTAACAAGGAGTAGTCTGAGACATTAACACATACCAGCCACAGTTTGGGAATACAGCTAGGCCTTCACAGATGCCTTGAAAATTCAATTAATTCAATCCTGTCCTTTGAACCTCCGTCAGATCCTCACGTCCACCTCCCTGTCAGTCCATTCATTCAGTCATTTATCTACCATCTTCAGTACTGTACATCTGTCACCACCTTCTTCTTTTCATCATTCCATCTTTCCATTTGCTTTCTACTCCCCTGCTATGCCTTCCTTCCAGTTCTTTATCATTCTCATCTACTCAAGGAAGCTGAGTAGCTGGAACTCAGACTTGGTACTCTGATCAGTAATGCTCACCCAAATGTCCATCCCCATCTTTACTTGCACTTATACATTCATCTCTCCTTCATTCCATCCTGTCATCCATCCTTTAATTTTCCCTTCATCCTTCCATTTGTTCACATCTCCATCTGCCCATCTTCCTTCCTCCTGTCCACCTACTTATATTTCCACTCACTCATCCACATTTTAACACATGCAGCCACCCATCACTTTCCCTTGTTCTTTTTATCCATTTATCTACCCATCTACTTAGCCATCAGGTAAACTCTGTACTAGACACAGAGGATATAGAGTTGAAGAGAGTTTTTTCTCTTGAAGGACTTATACATGATGGGGTTTACTCCCAGTAATACCTTATAGCAGCAATGAAAGCCTGTACTTTGTACAGTGAGGGCACAAGGAAAGCACACTCAGCCTGGGATAGAGGTATGTCTCCATGGAGGAGGTATCTGTGGCCCTTCATTTACTCCCTCTTATGCCCACCTCCCAAGTTTCTTGTTCAAATATTCACAAAACAGCAATTACAGCAGAGTTGGCAAATGCCCCAGAGTGCTCAGGCCTGCAATCCCTAGCTGGGCCCTTGGACTTCTGTTCCCCTAGGTTCTGCCTTAGGATTCTGATGCCAGAACATTTAAAAGGATGGGAAATGTCCCAGTGGAGTGACATCCATGGAGGACTGGAGGGAATCCTAATCTGAACTTGAATTACCTCATGGATAGTTGATGATACCGTTTTCTGGAGGATAGGCACGAATTCCTCCACAGGAGAAAACGCATTGGGTGCCAGAACCTGATAAAGGCTTAACTTTTTGGCTGAAAAAAGAAAGAAAGAAAGAAAGAAAAAAAAAAAAGCAGTGGGGCCTGAGACATCCCCCAGGAAGCTCCCAGGGTTCAGGCTCCCTGTCAGTCACTGGCATGCTTGGTGCTACCCTCTCTGGTAATCACCTTTCAGACTATTGACCTTGAGCCATTCTGCAGACGTCTTGTCCAAGTTGGGGAACTCAATTGTGAGAGGAGCTTGATGCTTTGGAGGCTTAGGTAGCAGGCTTGCAAGTGATCCTTTTGCAATCTCTGCAGAAATCTAAATTCAGTTAAAAAAAAAAAAAACCTCATTGTATGGTTGTACCTTAGAGTTGGAAAGTCCTTCATCTTCCACTTTCCACCATTACCTCTGTCCCATCCCCCTAACCTTGTCCCCCAGAGAGAACACCTTAAAGCATTACCTGCAAGATCAAAGGTGTCACCTGGGCCTCCTTCTCTGGACATTTCTGGAATTTTCAGGGAAGAGAGAGATGTACTTGGCAGCTCACTTCCTCTTGTTGGCCATCCTCCTCACCCCATTCTCCATCCTTACCATTAAGATCAACTCTGCAGGCTCCCAAGATCATGGCTGCCTCTCCTTGGGCTCAAAATACAAAGGAGTAATTTCCACACAAAATTGTTCAGGGAGTTCTGATCCAGCCCAGGGCTCTCTACCCGCACCCCATTTACAAAGTGAGAAGCTGCAGGTCTGAGAGGTTAGCTCACAGGGCTAGTGCAGGAGTGAAACCCACAGTGGTGACACCCACGCTTCAGGGAACCTGTGCATCACCTACCTCCTTCCACAGGCAGCTTGGCTCCTCCCATGGGCTGCTCTGGCGTAGGGCTTGGACTTGGCTGAGGAGGCTCTGGGCCTTCTGCATTTCTGCCAGGAGCTCATCGACATCCCGGCTGGCACAGAGCTGAGGGTGATGGGAGCAATCAGCCACCAGGAGTGACCCGGCTACCAGTGGTCAAGCCACAAAGGGCCAGCGGCCAAGTCGAGATTGCCAGAGCTAAGTGGCAGACTGCTTATACCAGATGCCTGAAGATATGTTTTGTTCCATTTATGTAGTAGTGACCTTCAGGGTTTTTAAACAGTTGAAAGTTTTATAGCTTTATAAATGCAAAGAAATACTTTACATTAGGATGGCTGTGATGGTGATGGTTTAGAGGTGGGCATTTGGCCCAGAAGCTTTGTGGGGTGCTTGCATCCCACATCAGAGCATGTGGGTTCAAATTCTGGCTCCACTCGATTCCAGCTTCATGCTAATGTGCACCCTGGGAGGCAGCAGGTAGTGGTTAAAGTAACCGAGTTCCTGCTTCCCACATGGGAGACCCAGATGGGGATCCTGGCTCCTGATCCCTCAAGTCCTGCCTGTTGGAGACATTTAAGAAGTGAACTAGCGGGCCCAGCACCAGTGGCCTAGCGGCTAGGGTTCTTGCCTTGAAAGCGCCCGGGATCCCATACGGGCGTTGATTCTGGTCCCTGCGGCTCCACCTCCCATCCAGCTCCCTGCTTGTGGCCTGGGAAAGCAGTAGAGGATGGCCAAAAGCCTTGGGACCCTGCACCTGCTTGGGAGACCTGGTGGAAGTTCCTGGCTCCTGGCTTCGGATCGGCACAGCACCAACCTTTGTGCTCACTTGGGGAGTGAATCATTGGACGGAGGATCTTCCTCTCTGTCTCTCCTTCTCTCTGTATATCTGACTTTGTCATAAAAATAAATAAAAGTGAACTAGCAGATGGAAGTGTCTGTATCTTTCCCTCTGTTTCCCTTGCTCTCTCTCTCTGCTTCTCAAATAAATAAATGAATCTTAAAAAGATTAATCACAGAATTATTACCTGATACAGAAATTCTATTTTAGTTATATATCCCAAATAAATGAAAATAAGGACTCTGAAACTGATATGCTATTTACATATCAGAAGGTAGAATAGCCAGAAGGCGGAAAAAAATCCAACTTTTACTAACAGTTTAGTGAATAAACAAAACATGGCACTTCTAGACAATGGAACATTATACAACCATAAAAAAAGGTTGTCCTGCGTCTTCTCACACACTCATTTTAACCTAATATTTACACATTGGGTGTGAATAGAACAAGGAGCCACAGGGAAACAAGTACACAGCATGGTCTGCTGGCCACAGCTGGAGAGGCAGGCAAGGGGCAAGTGTGTCAGTAGAAGGACCTACCTCTGCAGCCGGGCTGTAGCAGTGGTAGTAGCCCCCAAGGGCTTCTGCAAGGTTCTTCAGGACGGCCTGGAGGGGTGGGGACAGTGTCACGGCCACACCAATACTTGGCAGAACTTTGCAGCTATACAATGCTTCTGATTTTCCTGATGGGAGAACTAGGCTCAAGAAAGGGATATTGTGGTCCACAGCTTAGAAGGCCTGACCGGACATGGAGCCTTCAAGGCTGTCTCAACTTGTATCACCAAACCCAAGAGGAACCTTGGAGAAGCTCAGGTACTTACAAGAGGGAGCTGACCATCACATTTGTAGGTGACCACGTGGATGATTAGGCCCCTTCCTATGGTGGCCTGCTGCATGTAATCAGACAGGATATCAGAAGACTGATCAGGGCTATGGAGGAGACAGGAGAGAAGTGAGCACCTTGGGTCAAACCAGAGAACATTCCAGAGAAAAATGATGATTCCAGGGAAAAATCTGTGCAGGGCTTTGTGGACTGCAGGCCTGGCTGGCCCTGGCTACCCTGTCCCCTTGACCTACGAACATGACCCTCCACTCCAGTGTGTGTAAGAGCCCTGCTTGGTGATCTCTGCCCTATGATTTGGTTCTTCAAACTCTTCATGGAGTCCAATACCCACCCAGGAAAGGAGACCTACCAGCTGCCCATGATGATCACCAGAGAATTCAGCTCCTTCAGAGTAAAGATTTTCTTCAGGGCTCGAAGCAAATTGCTGCCTCCCTCAGGCTGCAGTTTCTTTACCCAGAGTCTGAGTTCCTGGAGGCTGGTGGGGAGAGAGCAGCAGGGACCTCACTGTAGTTTACTTACCAGGTGGCAGGCCAAGGAGACACGAACTCATGAAGGTTTAACAATTCTTTGAGATGGGGATTCTTATTCCTGCTTTAAGGATGAGGAGACTGAAGCTTTGAGTGAGGATTTATGTAAGGGGATACTGTAAGCAACTAGTAAAATAGGTTCTATACCAGGTTAACTTCAGACCCTAAGAGTACACTGTCTTCTGTTTGAGGGGTTGGGGCTGGGTGCTTTCTTTCCTGCTATACCCCACCCAGCTCTCCTGGGAGCCAGACTGCCATGTCCGCTATAGAGTGAACCCTCTGACACTGATAGAAGGTTCTAAGAGAAGGCAGTGTGGCTCTGAGGTACTGTCTCATGCCAATAGGGATATACGCCATTGGTAAGAAGGGAAAATTTTTTTTAAGATTTATCTATTTATTTGAAAGGTTATTTCAGAGAGAAAGTGAGTGGCAGAGATACGAGTGGGCGATGACAAGGGAAGTCCAGAATCAAATGAGTTGAACTTTTGGCCAATGTCAAGGTGACATCCTGGAAATTGCACAACCACAGTGGACATCATGGTAAACAATGCTTGCATTCACTGAGTTTTTGATATGTGTCAGGCACTTAATTTTCATTTCATCTTCACAGCAGCTCTGTTAGGTGTAAGCATCACTGGCCTTGTTCTGTGAATGAAGAGTTAAAGGATTTGTTGAGGTTACCCAGTGACTATCAGAGATGTGACTCCAGGCCAGAGCTGCCTTAATCATCCAATAAAGACACTGGCACTTGGGAAAGAAATGAACAAGCTGACTTGCTGAAGGAAGGTGGCAGTCACTCACGTGGAGACACCGAGTTCCATGGAGTCTGGCCAGAGGAAGCTGGTGGTGGAACCAAAGGACAGGACATACAGCTTCTCCTTGTGGCTCAGCTGCTCTTCAATGAGCCTCTGCTGGGCAAAAGGACATCATGTCTCCCAAAGCCAGGACTAAGGGGGGCCTGGGTTCCCCTCTCTCATCCTGGCTGGCCCCTGAACCTAGAAGATGTGCTGTGCCCAGATCAGAAGACTTGAGGCTCAGCTGACCAACTGGTTCTAGGTTGACATTTGCTTCCCCTTGTTGAGTCTCATGGGCATGTGGGATGAGCATCCTGGCTGCCCCATATGTCGAAGCTGGATCTCCAGCACTTAACTGGCATCAGGGAGGGAGGACACACAGGTCAGGACTGTGGTTTCTCTCCAACGCGTGTGAGTAAGGGATGGATCAATGGGCACAGCATCAAGCTAGTCTAAGGATCTTAAGCTGCAGCTGGTGCGTATTCTATGAGAACTACACCTCTCCTTCTTCTTCTGGACCAGCTAGAAATTTCACCTATGTGCCATCCACTCTACCCCATCTGGGGGAATCTTTGTGAACTTAGCCCTCAGGACTTGTCATTTAGGGACATACTTGCACTGATACCTGTCCCCTGACCCCACAGAGACCAGAACAGGTACAAGTCTGGTTGAATAGCCCATATTAAGCCTTTCAAAGGCTCTGGCAGACCTTTATAGGAACAGCTATCAGCTCTGTGGTCCCCATCCCAATCCTATAAGAAAGCATCCACTCCCTAGGACATCACAGCTGCATGGAGGCTTCTCTCGGTGCCAGACTTTGCACTGAGCACTCCACTCATGCAGATGCCTTTCGTCCTTATGTCAAACTTATTGGTATCACACTCATTTTACATAGGGCAGTAACCAAGGCATAGAGAGATTAAGTAACACAGTCCCACGGCCTAGGTATGGTGGAGGTGGCTAGGAGGACCTGACTCTTGAGTTCTTAGTTTTTGTTACAAATATGCCGAGGAAGCCAGAATAGGCCAGAAGTCCTGTGTTCTGTTTATGCTGGAGTCAGCTTCCAACCAAGTCCCATCTTCACCTTCTCTTTCCAGGGCTCCACAGGCTCTAGAAGCCAAGTCTAGTAGTTAGATACTGTCGTGTTGAGAATAGCAGAAAGTCACATGGCAGTTAAACATGACTCTGGGGTTGGTAGTTTACATAGGTGCAAATTTCGGGGATGGTGTTCTATATTAAACACCCTGTTTTGCATTTGTAATTGACAAAGCCAGTTAGCAAGCTTGAGGGGAAGAAGGGGGTGACAGGGTGGTCCCAGCTACTTCTCTGTGCAGGGAAACTCACCCCCAGGTCATTCTGGAATTCCTCCCTCTGAGGGCCATTGCCCACCGCCGACCTGTCAATGAGGATGCCTACTCTGGTCCCTTTAATGAGGCCAAATGCCTAAAACCAAATAGAGAAATTTAGAGACAATCAGAACAGCCCTGTGCCTCCCCAGGACCATATAGCTTGGAGTGGGGCAGCAGGGCAAGTGCTCCCCTCCCATTTACAGGAAACAGCTAGAAAATACCCTTTATAGCAAAACCCAACATCCTGACTTCAGCTCTGGGCACTGTCTGCTTCTAGGTTATGGGAACCTAATCATTAAACGCTTCTCTCCCCCTTTGATATTTGCTGTCCGCATTTATGAAGTAATACACATACATGTTCATTATCTAGAACCTGGAGGTTATAGAAAAGCCCACTTTGTTTGCAAGATACCTAATGATATTTGCTTTTCTTATTTCTCCATATCCCTATTTATTTCTTCCTTGCTCTACCAATCAAATGCAGACATGGTGAGCCCACCAGCTGTGGTGACATTTCTGTGAGATTCCACTTATATGTTCCCAATACCTATCACTATCAGTGCTGTTGGATTCTGTCCCTAAGTGCTCATCTTGTCACAGCTCCACTGGGAACTGGAACTTTCATTTGCATGAAATTGACATTCATCTGGGGAAGGAGACTCCACAGGATTCTTCTGGCCTTAAATTCTACTTTACGGGACACTTAATTTTCCTGTTCAATTCACTCTTCTGCTTTCAGGGAAGAGTATTTTACATCTCTACCACTTCCATTCTGGACTCTCCCAGCAAGTGATCGTTGCCTCCAATTTCACTGAGAAAACAGAAATTAAAAATAAAACAAAACAAAAAGCTTTCCCATACAGAATCTACCAATTTACCAGGTTATGATGCACCTAAAACTATCCATCAAAGCTCTGAGCCTATCAGTTTGAAGTGTAGCTGGATCTTCCTTATCAAATAGGACTTTAACACTGCTATCGCTCCTATAGGCTCATCACTTACTCCTGATCTATTTTTTGCACAGCATCCTTCACCACACACAGGGACCATAATATTGCTCATCTTGAAAAAGAAACAACCTTTTCAGGATCCCATTTCTTCCTGCAGCAGCATCAATGTTCTGCTTCCCAGGTTGGCAACACAGCGTTACTTATGTCTGACTCTCACACTGGACTCTTCCCCACTGCTCTGAAGTCACACTTGTCAGTCAGAGGGATCAGTGCGTCCCCTCTTGTCAGTGATCAAATCCAAGTTCTCAATTTTCTCAGACTCTTGAATAGCATGTGACAGACTGTGTTGAGAATTGGACAAGTTGAAGAAGTTAGCTTTCATGTCTCCCAGGCCACCACATGCTCCTGTTTTTTTCGACTCCTCAACAACCAGTCCTTATTAAATTTCTTTGCTAGATTCACCCTTTCTTCCTTGTTCCAATGTCCACATCTTGGTGTGTCCTAGGGACTTGCTCCTGGAGGTGTGGGGCATTAACGTCACCCAGCAGCTTGTTAGGAACATAGAACCTCATGTCCCATTCCAGAGGCACTCAGTTAATCTATATTTTAACAAGACTTTCTGGGTGATTTGGCCGCATACTAAAATAATTTTTTAATTAATTTATTTTTATTGGAAAAGTAGATCTACACAGAGAGAAGGAGAAACAGAAAGATTTTCCATCTACTAGCTCAGTCCCCAAGTTGCTGCAACAGCCAGAGCCGATCCAAAGCTAGGAGCTTCTTTTAGATCTCCCATGCAGATGCAGGGTCCCAAGGCTTTGGGACATCCTTGACTGCTTTCCCAGGCCACAAGCAGGGAGGTGGATGGGAAGTGAAGCAGCCAGAACATGAACTGTGCCCAAATGAAATCCTGGGCATGCAAGGTGAAGATTTGGCCTCTAGGCTATCATGCCAGGCCCTGCACACTAAAATTTGAGAAGCTCTGGGCTGTGTTTCCATTTTACCCTCTCTCACACGTGCACTCTCTATACCAGAGTTTGGCAATGCTGGCACTCCTGACATTGGGGAATGGGTGATTCTCTGTTATGAGGAGCTGCCCTGGGCATTGCTGGGTGTTGAACAACATCCCGGCTGCTGGTAAACTGGGTGCCAGTAACCTCCCTCCTCCCCCAAGCTGTGATCATTAAACATGTTTTCAGATACTGCCAAATGTCTCCTAACGGCAAATTGACCGCCCTCCCATCCCCACTCCTGTTGAAAACCACTGCTTTGTATTTGCTTCCTAAGTGGTCTCACGAGTCTCATGTCTTTAAATGCCACCTGCACGGTGAGATTATCTGACATCCATCTCCAGGCCAGTCTGTCTTGGAACCCCAGACATGTGCACACTGCAGTGTGTTCTACATCTCCATCTGGATACCTTGGAGGGCCTGCAGATTCTGTCTATCTAAAACATGGCTTTCCACCTCAAATGCATTCTTCCCTCGGTTCTCCCCCACCTCCCTAAATTGCATTCAACATCAGCACAAGCACTGTGGCCCCAAACCTATCCATTCCATCAGCAAGTGCTGTGAGCTCTTTCTTCACACTGTGGTTTGAGCTCACTGTTTCTCATCCCGCCCAAGCAAGCACCCATCCTACTAGCTCACAGTCTGTTTCTGGTCTCTGCTGCCCTGGGTCCATCTGTGCAGTAGCTAGAGTGATCCTTTTCAAACTTGTGAGATCATATTACTCCCATGTTTAATCCTCTCCCTCAAACCCAGTCTCTATAAGAACCTCCTACTCGGAACCTGCCCTCACCTCACTGCCTTCACTGCCCACATTGCTCTCGCTATGCTTGATGTGTTGACATGCCTGCTGCTTCCGGGGGGTGCCAACCTTGTTTCCACCTCAGGACCTTTGTGTTTACTGTTCTCCTTTTTCCAGAACATTCTCCTCTAGATCCCAGCCTGACTCATTCCCCTGTTTCATTTACCTGTGTCTTCAAATGTTCCTTCCTCAGAAGGAGTTTCCTTGGCTACTGTACTTCCATAGCCCTCCTTCTGTTTCATGCTTTATTCTCTTGCCCTGCTTTAATCTTTCTTTATAGCACGACCTAGTGCAAAGTAAGTGCTATATAAATAATTGCTGTATTGTACTTTACAGGGAATAGTGACAAGGGAAAAAAAAAAGGCCTGTATGGGTTCAGTAAGAGGATTTTTTTCCAAACATTTTTGACCCATGGTTGGTTGGATCTCTTCACATGATTTGTGAATTTCTTCACTGTCTGCCCCTCCTCACTGGATTGTCAGTTTCATGTAGACAGAACCTTTTTATTGCTCACGTGTGTACCTTCAGTCCTGAACAGTGCTAGATAAGGAGTCATCACCTGATAAGTATTTGTTGAAATTCATGACCCAAATGAAATGTGAGGCATCCTAAGACATTGCTGATCCCCAGGGGCCAGAAGTCAAAATTTAGAACCAGTTCTATTGCTCTTAGAATTTAAAAAAAAAAAAAAAAGCTGCTCTGAGAGCTGTACAGCATTTGAAATTGAAAACATGCATTCCCTTAAACCTAGCCATTGAAATTCTAGAAATTTATCCTTTGGAAGTAATTGGACAAACACAGAGATGTAATTGGAATCCAGTGATACCAGATAGTCTCAGCTGTCAAGAGAAGTCTGGAAATAGACATAAAAGTGAAATATCAGGATTTTAAAATCTTGGCAACTATTAGAAAAAATATTTTAAATGACAGGGCCAAGAAAAACACAGCTGCAGGCCAGATCTAGCCTGCATGCTGCTGCCCTGCCAGCCTTGCTTTGCCCTGCACAGATTAAAAGCTTTGGCTTTCCATGCACAACCTCCTGTCTCCCTTTTACAGTCCATGAAGTTTGGGGGTGCTCTCCTAGGCTCCTCCTGCCGACTGTTCTCCTCTATTTTCCTAGGAATGAGTACTAATTCCAGATATACCTACTTAATATATTTCACCTCCTCGGCTATGGTGATTGGCTTAAATTAGTCCAATGAAATCCAATCCCAGACTTGGGAGAATGTATAGGGAACAGGAAGTGAGGTCCCTTTTGATTAGAGTTGTCTAGGTGGTGATACAAGCTTAGAATTTACATCACTGATGACCACTTCCCCCAAGCCTGGGGACAGTCATTCCAAAAATTAAACCAACTCAGAGGAAGACAAAGCCCATAGACATAGGGATGACACTATTTGAGCACCAGGATACAAATATGTCTGAGTTTTTCAGGCATGTCGGTTAAGAAATTTCTGTTTTAGCTCAAGATAATTTAAAATGGAAAACTAGCACCTGCATCAGAAAGAGTTCTAACACGTACGGATGGAATGAGTGAAAGGGGGGCAAAGAACGAATCCATATCCATTACCTTATTGCTGTTTTCTGTGAGCCACCGAATTCTCTGCTGATAGAGTCCAATAGCTCTGCCAAAACACCAGAAAAACTCATCTTATAAAAGGTCAACTTCATCACGGAGCAATAGTTACTTATGTGGAAGTAAGGTGTGCATTGGACTCTTTTTTTAAGTGGGTCTAAGACTTTGGCAGAATATGAACACAATGTATACCAGAGAGAAAACTAAAGACGTTAGCTTTGCCAGGACACTTGGTAAAATACAAAGAGCTTATGAAAAGGATGGGGTGGGCAGACATAGGTCCGTTAAGTGATGTGATGCACAAAGACTACAGTTTGGTGGAACAAGGGGTGAGCTGTGGAGGATGGGGCAGCATGTTCTCATGAGAAAGGCCAAAGAACATTCTTGTACTTGTTCAAGTCTGACTTCTCAGATGAAACTATTTCTAGTCCTCTGGGGGGAGTAACTTAAAGGCATAACACAAGCAGTTCAGCAGCAGCTTCTCACAGGTCTGATTAACGAAAGCTTAGCTTCTGAAAAGTAGCCCGGGAAAGGTCTCAAAGTCCCCTTGTTGCAAAGTGTTCTAGTGACTAGTGGGAGGCCAACATGTGACAGGTTCTTAAAGTAAGGACTCAGTCACTGAGCACACGTCCTCACATGGGATCTGAGCGTCTACAGAGAAGTAAGGAAAGTCTTCAGGATGAAATCACAGGGCAGTGGGTGGTGGTTAAAGCTAGAAGGGGCTCATGAGTATGAATAGATCTGAAAGGATGAACTCTGTAGAGACTCTTGCATTGGGGATCCAGTTCTGTCCTCCCTGGCTGTGTGTCTTTGCTCAGGTGGGTGACCTCTCTGAATCCCAGTTTCATCATCTCCAACACAAAGATAAGAACAAGGCCTGATCCAAGTTTGTTCAATACCAATTAGCTAAATAGATCTGAACATTCCTTAAATGCTGAATTCACAATTAAAGGTAAACAAGCAAGACACTGCAGAATTCCTCAACATCTGTTTAATCTTCCAACCCAATAAAATTACCATAATATTTATATTTAAAAATGATTTTATAAACAGCAAATTGGTTACTCTGTAAATAGTCATTAGCAATTGATTTTTGGATAACTGGCTTCAGAGTAATACACAGTTTTGGTCTCAGCGAGTAAGATCATCTGTGCATCCTTTACTGGAATTTCTGACACATTGGTAAATGTTAGCTATTAATTATTATCACCTTCTAAGAAACCTCAGGCAAACAATAATGATGGATTAGAGGTGGCTAGATCAGGGATGCAATCTTAAAAACTATCATATCTAGTGACTGTTAAGAGATACGTTTGTATGTACATGTTTATATATATATATGCTTCTGTACATATTGAGTCAATATACAGTTTTATAACTTGCTTTATTCATATGAAGTGAATAAATTTCACATATTTCACAATAAAGACATAGGAGTATAGTGATACATCCCATCCTATCCTGTATATTTTGATACATATATAAACTATATGAACCAAACCAATTTGACATGGAAAGTAGTCACTCTTACCCAGGAAGCTGGAGTCAGGAGACTAAATGAAGAGACACAATCAAGCACCAAATTCTGCCATATCAGTGTGAAATAATGGGAGATGTGGATATCTTAAACATCCTATGCCAGGGGCCTGGTGCAATGGCTCAGCTTAATTCTCCCCCTTTCAAGTGATGGGATCCCATATGGGTGCTGGTTTATGTCCTGGCTGCTTTGCAACCCATCCAGCTCCCTGCTTGTGGCCTGGGAAAGCAGTTGAGGACAGCCCAAAGCCTTGGGACCCTGCACCTGTGTGGGAGACCTGAAAGAAGCTCCTGGCTTCAGATCAGTTGGCTTAGCTCTGATTGTTGTATCCAGTGGGGGAATAAATCAGTGGATGAAGGGTCTTTCTCCTCTCTGTAAATCTGCCTTTCCAATAGAAATTAATAAATCTTTAAAAACATACACACACAAAACAAAATGATCTGTCAAACACTAGCCCTTAACATTTTTTATTTTCTGTTTGAGAAAAGACGAGCCTGGGGTTGGAAGAGCTAAGGGCCTTGCTGAAGGGTCCGGTATGATCACTGTTTGAACAGTCACTTTTGGACTGCTGAAATGAGATCATTCTTGAGCTCCGGGTGTTACCGATAAACATACTTACTCAGAAAGCTTGGATTCAAAATGGCAGATGGTCTGAGTGGAGAAGCGGATTTTCTGCATGACATTGCTGCCTTCCTCCCTGAAGAAGCAAAAGGCTTATGCAGGAGCCACACGGCCCTGGAGCCTGAGTACATCACTCAGCTGTGGACGTTAGAGGGAAACAGAGCCTCAGACTTACAGCACCGCTGTGCCCTGTTTGATCAGGTCAGCCAAGGTGAGTTTCTGAAACTCTAGACTGTGATTCGAAAGCCAATCTTCGGGGTCCTCAGAAGCTGAAGACCAGGTCTCACTCCCCTGCAGCCTCTGCAAGACAGAAGCCAGAGTCAAACAGAAATCGGAGGGAAGAGGGCGGGATGCTTTGGTTCTCTTCACACAGGAATTGCCAACACTCACTAATCCCATCTAAAGGTATCTACCAGTTTTTGCTGAGATCATAAACAAATGTGGAAGCCATAGGGCCGACTGCACTGGAAAGACCCTTCATTCTCATTCTCCACCTCTCACCTCATCCCCAATATGTGGCCAGGCTACTCAAAGACTACTCATCATATCTACATTCTTAGCCTGAAGACACAAGCAAATGGCCAGGCTATATGACAAAAGATCCACAACTCCGGGGCGATAATCAGGATTGGTCAATAATTGCCAGCCAGTTTTCCTGTTCTTGTTTTTTGTTTGTCTTTGTCTCCTGGAGAGAGAGAGAAAGGAGTGTGCCACACGTGGGGTGCCTGTTTACTAGCTTAGTCACAGGGTGGCATCTCCTTTTCTCTGTGGTCATGGGAGAGAACATAACGTCTTGAGTGTTTCTGCATAGACAATTCCCAACAATCATCTTTACTTCCCCCTCAAGTTTGGTCATAAATAGGTCACTATAAAATAAATATAATGAAAATAAAATGCTGTTACAATGCTCCACGAAGCATATATTTCTGCAAGCCTTAAGTGCTGTGCCTGGGGCTTGCTCCTGTTTCAGTTTAAAAAGGAAATTAGCAAGTGTTAAGGAAATGCAGAAAAACACTCTCTTAATTACGGCCAACAGGGAGATAGCACTTATAATATGTCAAGCAGTTTCTGGATAGAAACTCAGTTAATTCTACTAAGTAGGTTCCGTCCTAACCCCACTTGGCTGACAACGAAACTGAAGCGCAGGGATTTTCAGTAATGTGCTCAAAGCCACACAGCTAATGGTGAAACTGGGATTCCAACCCAACTGTTTCAAGGCAGGTTAGAAACCACAACACTCTACTGCTTCTCCAAACGAGCACTCGGCTGTGGCTGTTTCATGAACTGATGGGCAGCCAGCTGACTGACAGGTAACTTTCTCTCTATGTGAGTCTGTGCTGAAGGGTCTTCCTTTGAACAGCTCTAAAACCATGGTCCCAGTCCTACATCTGGAGAGACATTGCTCTGCATCATATGAACATTAGATGTCACTGTTCTCACCCTTCAGGGCTCAGCCATCACTCTGCTTGCTAACACTGAAAACGGAGGCTTAGAGTTGACCGTTAGAGTTGACCGTCTCTCCATCTTTCCTACGTTTGCAATGATCTGTCATATTTTAGGATGTGGGCGTTGTATTATGAACAGCTGAGTATACACTCTTAAACATATTGCAGCTTTGACTTCAGGGTCAGCTGATTAGAGAAGGGTAAGATCTTCGTTTACACAGAAAATGGTAAGCTTGTTCCACTGATTGCCATTTGCAAAGCAAAAGAGGCCTCAGCTGTGGCTGATACATTTAAGTCTGGTCCTTTACACATCTGGAAGCCACTGGTTTTGATATGAAATTAGATCAAATGAAGATCCAGGTCATTACTACCTGAAGTCACTGAAAAAATTTCCTCAGAATCCGAAGACGCTCTCAGCCTTCTCTCACTTTCTTTTAATTAAACTGTTTTCCTATAAATGCCCAGACTTGAGAAAAGTAAAACATGACTATCTGTCCAACTGTTTAATTGGACCACCACTAATTTAATTTAATCCACCACTCCGAGTGTATACTTTCTGATGATTGTTTCAAATGTGTCATATTTAGGCTCTAGTGTAGATGACAAGATGGCTATGCACCAACCGTGCACATGGCAACCAGAAATGACTGTTGCATTCATGGTTGAGTGAATTCTGAGTTGTAGACAGTCTATGCACTCTCGTGTGTAGACAGCTCATGCACACACTGAACGTCACCTTGCAATCACAGTCTGGCTATTCTAAAGGTTAATTCCCCCATCCTAACGATCTTGCTCAAATAATACTTTCTGAAATAGATTTCTGAATCTAGCTTTTTCTAGGGAATCCTAAAAGAAAAACCTCAATAAGAGGAATTTTGGAATTAAGTGTCATACATTCCAGGCTTTGATAACATGCTTAAAGTCTTCATGTACCCCAGAATATTTATTATTGTGGCCGAGGAGCCACTATGGATTTTATAAACAGCATAGAGCTTTTTAGGTCATTTCTAGAGGCAACGGGAGGTGAATGTTTAATTAATCCTTTTCAGTTCTGAGATCTCAAAGTAGAACACCCAGAGTTTGGAACATTCTGCAGTGCCTGATGGATCTGTCAGTGCTGCTACTCAGTTAAAGTGCTGTGGTTTGTTTTTTTGTTTGTTTGTTTGTTTTTGGTTTTTTTTTTTTTACCAGTAATTCCTGCGTCTGATTAACAGGTGTAACCAGTAATCCATCATCTGGATTTTGCCCAGGTCCATTCATAGTCTCTTGGTTCAATTGCTTCTTGGGGTCTTCGTCAGCATTTCTCCTCATGCTACAAGAAAAAGTGACTTGATCAGTGCCCCAGCTCTCGGCCTAGCCTCCATACTGCCCACTTTTCTCCCCTCTAGTTCTGAAAAGGATTCCAGAAATATTTTTATTTTTGTGCAGTAACTGGGAAGGATTCCCATAGAATCCTGATAAAATATGGACCCAAGATTCCTGAGATATTATATTGTTGTGTCCTGGTGCTTGGGTAAAAGTCCTCTAGGGCGATGCATTTATCATTGACGTAGTCTCACTTCCTGGCAGGAGCTTCCCATCCCTCTCAACTCTCCTGAGCAAAAACGTTGCCATTTTCTTTTACAGTCATTTTCCAGAAGGTTATTTTCTTGACCATGGAAGACATGACTAGGTTGTGTAGCCATTATGAAAGCACTTAATGCTTATCTTCCTATGAAGGAAAAGTAAACACCGGCAAAGGGAATAAGTCCAGCATGTGGACGATAACAGTTTTGCAGGTTTTCTCCGTCCAGCTCAACTCCTCTGTAATTAGTTAAACACCTACTGGGTTAGCAGGATTAGTGCTCAGTGCTAAGAATACATTGATGAACAAGGTGATGTGGGTTTCACAACTTTGCCTCTTTTGGCATTTTGGACCCAAGAATTCTCGGCGCTGAGGGCTGTCTTGTTCATTGTATGTTTAGCAGTATCCCTGACCTCTACTTATTACATACCAGGAGCACCCCCTCTACCATGTATCCAAAATGTCTCCAGTCCTTGTCAGATGTCTTCTGGAGACAAAACCATCCCCATGAAGGTAGATATTATTATCCTTGTCCTCAGGGAGTGCTCATTTAAGAGGGACAGAATAATGTTAAAATGTTAAAGGAAGCAGTCATCTCTCAGTCGCTGAGGGGGATTACCTTGAGGACTCTGCCCTGCTCAGCAAAAAATCAGAACCTGCAGGTGCTCGAGGCTCCCATATAAAATGACATAGCATTTGCATATGTAAATAGTTGTGATGCTACATTATTTAGATAATGACAAGGGGAGGTAGAAATTTGCACGTGTTCAAAACAGATGTGATCTTTGTTTCTTTTCCATCCATAGTTTGTTGAATCCACAGATGTGAAACCCGTGGATACTGAGTGAGGGCGGACTGTAATTACCGATAGGGGAAAAAGCTATGAAGCAAGGAAACAGGATAATGTTATAATCAGGAAAGGGAATTACTCTAGATAGGGAAGGGGGTGAAGGAAAGTGTCTTTTGAGCTTAGTCCTTGAAGGATGAAAGGAGATAGCCATGTTAAGGGTGTGTTGAAGGCACTAGTAGTAGGTATAATCTCATATTGGAACATAGGATCAAGTCCTGGCTCCTCCACTTCCCATCCAGTTTCTTGCTCATGTGTTTGGAAAAGCAGCGCATGATGGCTCAAGTACTTGAGTTCCTGCTACCCACATGGGAGACACAGATGGTGTACCTGCCTCCTGCTTACAGCCTGTCCCAGCCTCACTGTTGCAAACGTTGGGAAGAGAACAAGCAGATAGAAGATTCTCATTTTCTTTCTCTCTCTCAAATAATATTTTAAATTTTATTTTTATTGGAAAGTCAGATATATAGGAAGAAGGAGAAACAAAGAGAAAGATCTTCCATCTGCTGAGTCACTCCCCAAGTGGCCTCAACGGCCAGAGCTGATCAGATCTGAAGCCAGGAGCCAAAAGCCTCCTCCAGGTCTCCCACACTGACACAACGTCCCAAGGCTTTGGGCCATCCTCGACTACTTTCCTCAGGACACAAGCAGGGAGCTGGACGGGAAGTAGAGCAGCTGGGACACAAACCTGTGCCCATATGGGATCTTGCCAATACAAGGCAAGGATGTTAGCCTTTAGGCTATCATGCCAAACCCAAATAATAAATATGTATGAATTATAATTGGCATCCATACAGGATCGTGGCACATGCAAGTCGAGGACTTCAGCCAGTAGGCTACTGCACCAGGCCCAGGTTTCTCCACTTTAAATCCAGTTTCCTGCTGATGGCTTGGGAAAAGCAGTGGAGGATGACCCAAGCATTTGAATCCGTGAAACGCACATGGGAATCCTGGATGAAGCTCCTGACGCCTGGCTTCAGGCTAGCTTAGCCCGGGCTGTGGCTGTCATCTGGGGAGTGAGCCAGTGGATGGAAGGTCTCCTTCTGACTCTCAAGATAAATAAATAAACAGGCTTTTTTTTTAAGACCCTAAGGTAGGAAAGGATTTGGCTTCTTCAAGTCAAAACAAGATTGGCTAGGCCACAGTGATTTGAAAAAGCAGGATGGGAAGAATAAGAAATATTGAGATGAAGTTAAGTTCTTTTCTGTGAGAACTGTGCCTGTACTTACTAGTCACACCTTATTGACTCAGTGTTAGACAAGTATCTAAGCTGGATCAGAGTCTCTCCCTAGGAATTTTGGATTAAGAGCTGTGTGGTCACCATGTACATCCAGAAGCAGAAAAACACCATCTTCATAAGAAAATGGAACAAATGGTCATTCCCTGTCTTCATTTCCATGGGGCCACCTCTCCTGGCTTCTTCCTTCTCTGCTGGTTCCTTAGTGGTTTCCTCTGAGGGTGCATCTTCCTGCAAGCAATGATGTTGACTGTTCCTTTCTCATGTCCTCCTGTCTTCCCACAGGAGGCAACCTGTCCATCAATGACTTGCACTTATATGACAAGTATCCAGACCTCTCTGACTCCAAACCCGGGTATTGATTGATACTGGGTAGTTTCGCTTGCAGCACATCAGCAAGTCCAAGATTGAATTCATGCTGTTCCCTACAGACTTATCCTTGCTCCCTAGCTTAGGGAGAAAAACCACTTGAGACAAAACCCAAGAATTACTCTTGACACCCCTTCCCCATAGCCAATCCATCACCCACCCTTGTTAATTTTATCAGTCTCAAGTCTCTCCACTTATTTATTTTCACTGTCATTTCTCTAGTCCAGGCCGCTGTCATGTCTGCCACAGACAATTGCAATAGGTTCAAACTGGCATGCCTGCATCACCGTGGACACCCCTTTCCAATCTGTCCTCTTTACTGAAGTCAATCTTTTTAAAACATAAACCCAAGGTGGTACCACCTCCCCTTTTTCTTCCCACTTACAAATTGTTCAAAGGCTCCACTTTATAGGATGAAGGCCAAGATCCTTACGATGGCCTTTGAGGCCCCAGCCTATCTGGTTACTGCCCCTCTACCCTTCTGGATTGTTTCAGCAACACCCTCTCCTGTGTCCCACAAGGACCCTTCATTTTCAGTTCTTCAAATGCCACAGGGCCTTTTTGTATGCTGCTCTTTGTTCTTTGCTTTCCCCAAACTACCCATCCTGAATATTTCAGTTTCCTCTGGGATATCTCCAACATTCTACTCTATTTCAGGTTCCTTTGCTTTAGGTAGACATTTATAGAACCATGTTCCTTTCTTTTAAAGAGTCTGATCTGGACATTTCATTAGTGTGATTTAAAAAAAATTGGTATATCTTCCCCTTTACTGTAAGTTAGATGAAAGCAAAGATTCACAACATTTAATACTTTGAGGAGGGGAGGAGAAGGGAAAGAGGGAAGGGGGGAAGAGGGGAAACTGCCTTGGTTCTTGAATTCCTAATTATGTGACCCAGGCACTTGTGAGAACTGATTTCACTTTTTGCTCTTAGGTTTCATGAGATGTTGTATTTCTGATAATTCTCTGTTTTTGATTAAGTTAGCTCATTTTGATTTTTGTTGTGTGCAACCAAAACAAAGATCTTGGCTAAAACACAGCAAAAGAATAAAAAATAAAAAATAAAAAAATTCTGAATGAAGCTGCATCTTAAACACTAAATTACTGTGTTATTATGCAATCCGTAAATTAAATAGCCTAATGATGGTTCAGCAAGTTGCTTTTCACTTTTGGGTCTTTCATCCTTTATTCAGAGGGTGCTCTGTTTTGTGGCAATGTCCTAAAAAACAAAAAAATGCATAACTGGCTTCACTTCAGTTGGCTTTCCTGAAAGACTGCAATGACAAGGATTATTAAAACAGAACTGCCTCATAAACATTGACCACCTTGTAGTGTTTCAGTTCCCTCTTTTCAGGGCGTAATTAACAGCTCTTAATAAACTCAGAGGTCTGCTTGTCTGAATTCAGGGGCAACTTGAGTGGGCTGATGGAGGGGGTAGGGGCTGAACTGCATAAAAACCTACAAATCAATGCAGGGCCCTGGCAAGGGCTCTCAGTCTTTGGTTTCTACATCTGCAGAGTGGCACGGGCATCACAGTAACTACCCTACCCACTTCAACTCCATTGTCAAGAGAATCAAATGCAATTGAGAATGGAAAAGTGCTTTGTAAAGTACAAAGTACTATAGGACTGTAGTCTATCACACACACACAAGAGTGCTGCTTCTTCAAGCACGTCAGCACAGAACAGGAAAGCAATCAGTCATACCATAAACGTTTATAGAGTGCCCATCAGGTGCCAACAAAAGCTAGTCTGGAGAGAAAGAGGAACAGCACACGGCCCTTACCCTCAGGCCTTTCCTCATATGAATTCTTCTTTGAATACTTCAAATAGGAAGTACTTGTTTTATTCTCCACAGCAGCTTTCACCACCTGATATTCTATATATTTACTGTCTGTCCCTCTATCACACACACACACACGAAATAAGATCCATGAGGGCAGGAACATAGTAATGTTCCCTGCTAGTAGCTTTCTGCATACAGCAGTGCCTAGAACACAGCAGTTGCTCTAGAAACATTGACTAATGCATACACACATACATACAACATTACCAAGGGACAGTGGTTTTAAGCAGGGAATAGAACATGCAAGCTGGCCCACAAGACATAGCATTTCAGTCAGAGGGAGCTTTGATTTATTGGGTTCAAGAAATCTTTGGCTAATTTACTGGATGGTTAACAGCTGATCTAGGATGCTCTTAGGTATTCATTCAGGAGATAACCATTCCCAGGGTATGTATTTTTAACTATAAACTTGCCTCTAGTTTTGCCCAAATTTTTCCAATCTGCAGAGCTGTTTCTATCTCTACCTGTTCTAAATGATTTTAACATTTCCTGCCATGCTCATCAATGCTCCAGGATACTCAAGTTGGCACCTTCTTCACAAAGCTTATCACCCCTTCAGGATCCATTCCTTGCCTACCTCTCTACCTCACCCATTATGCCTTTGGGCTCCTCTAAGGCAATCCCTATTTAGACACACCTTCCTTATTTCATACTCTTCCTTCGGCCAAGTTGGTCTTCTAGAATGCCCTTTGCTCCTTTTGTCTGACAAGCAAATTTAAAAAGTGGTCCCTAAACTCAACTTACGATCCTCTAAATCCCCTTGGTCACCTTTCCTTCTAGTGGAAGTCCCTCCTGTTGCTGTCCTCACTGTCCCATAAGTCCATCTATCCAAACAGCTCCACTGCTTTTTCATTAGCTGTCATATGCCCAGCAAAATGCTTGGCAAGTTTAATGTTCCTAAATCTTTGTCCAGAGCTTAGAACCTGTGCTGCCCCCACACATCAACCCTTTGGATACTCACCTTCCCCTGGATTTCTTCATTTATTTCTTCATCTCAGGGAGAAGGGCTTCAGCCACCCAAGGGCCTTGCTTTCTTGCTTCCCACTTTTAGTTGCTCCAAGCTCCTCCAAGCAAGTCAACAGGGAAGCTTGCCCTGTGAGGAAGTGTTAGCTGGTCTCCAAGGTAACAGGCCACACCAACTGCAGCTTGGGGAAGGGAAAGGGAAAACCTCCCTCACCCGAGGGAGGAAGTTACCACCTGGGAAATTAATCAACTCTTCCAGGTCATTCTGTTTTTCTGCATCCTCACAAAAGCCTGGGATCAGGATCTGGACCTCATTTCTATTACGAGAACCTCCAAGTGAACAGAGAACTATGGTTCGGACCAATAGAGCCCTGGCACCTGCTGCCTTCTTGTGGTAGGAACTGAAGAAAGACCTCTGACAATCTGTGACATGTATGTATGAAAGATGGTAACCTTTCCTCCTCAGATTCCCAGGAGTCTCCCAAACACGCCAGGGGAGATGTCTGACAGTCATCACCCCCTCCAGGTTTGGTCCCATCCCAACCTGGCTAATACAGCAGCAAGCTCAGTGACTGACCTCTTAGCATCAGAAAAGATG